CGATTTGGAATCAGAATAGAGAGTTCGCAGTAAATAAAGGAATTAATGGATTGGTCCTCTATACGTGTTTATATATCCATATTTACGTTAGTGTATATGAGCTTCTATGGAGGATGAAGCATTTTGTTAGATGGTTGATATTGCGATTGTTTATGTTGGCGCAAATATTTTGGAAACGTTTGTCTAAGGAATATGTTTCATTGTTGCAACTTAGACACAAATGGACTCAACCAGAGATGAACATAGGAGAGAGTAACTTGGTGGCGACATTTACTGGGTTTTTAGAGAAAGACAAATGGTTATTAGGTCTGGTAATGAAAGTGACACCTAATAGTGATAGGTTAAGACCGATGGAGTTGCGGACAAGCGTAGGGATCTTGGTAAGAGATATTAGAAAACTGCGTCTAGAAGTTGTAAATATTAGGTAGCTACTCGGATCCCTAGGCGTACTGGTGTAAGTCCTAGGGATCACGAGATTGTTCGTATATTGAGTGTTTGTTGTTGATTGTTTGTGATGCATATACTTGGATTCTTGTTGTTTATTTATTTGTCTGAAAAGAACCAGGGTTCTTTTGGTCGGGAGTGTTACGGGAGAACTGAAGACATTTGGCGGATTAAAACCTTTTATTGTACATTAATAATTTACTGTGCTTTTGGATGTAATTGTTTTACTTAACTTTTGAACTTGTTTGTTTATATCTTTATTTCGGACGTTTTGGTTTGTCTTTGGTTTGGTATTTTGGTGCTCTCTTTGTCTTTGGTTTGGCATTTGGGAGTTTTGCTCCGGGAACCTACAAAATTGAAGGTTTGTTTTGTAATTGTTATAATTATTGTTATTAGAACGACATTTGGTCGATTACTTGTGAATTACGAATACATTTGGTATCTAAATTGGGACTTGGTTCTGTTGTTAATTTGGGTTCGTAATTTGCGAGTAGATCGATAGTCCGTACTTCAATAACTGGAACGAGCAAAACTTGGACGTAACAGTTGTTCCTTACATATCTATAGGATTTCGAGGAATTTTTTGTTATATATGATGGACACTTATTAAGCATACGTGATTTAGTCACGCTATAAATTGGGACACGATTGAGCTAAGTGTATACTTTAACTATAGACCATGCTTCTTCAACAGAAGAGTTAATACTGTCAAGCAGCCTGTCAAAACGCACAATGATTAATGGTCAAAATGTTCCCACGTTATTGATTTGAGTGAGGTTGATACTGATCGTAAATACTGTACCGAGCTCTAAACCTGAAACACGAGACTTCAAAACATCTACATGATGACGGTAGAAGAACATGTAGACAAGGAATATCCTTGGTTTCATGACTACTCAGCGACACAGAATTTGTATTTCTATGTCTCCCTTTTATCAAATGCTCCTGAACGGCAAGAAATCCTGGCGCAGCAATAGAAAGTGCCGAGGTAGACCATGAGGTGACTGCGACGTAAGATCACGTAAATCAGATTCTCACATCACGGTCAGTCAAATATGTCGGTTAGGTTCCAAGCCTTACAGGATCTGGTGAAAGAAGCTGCGATGGAGGACAACGAGAAAGGGATCAAAGAAGCACCAACTTCAACGTGTTAGAAGATACTGCGGCTCAAGAAGCATCATTATAAAGAATGGATCTCCAACGAAATCCTAGGCGAGATTCAACAAAGGAAGAACAAGAAGAAAGCAATCAACAGCAGTCAAACAAAAACAGAGAAAGTGGAAGCACAAGCTGAATACGCAGAAGCAAACGAGCAAGTGAAGTGGAGAGTTACAGCTGATAAGCGAAAATACATGGAAGGCCTAGAAACGACAGTAGAAAAGCTTCCAGAGAAGGAAATATGAAAGATCTATATAATACTATAAAGACCATAACATTGACGTACCATTTTGTGCTTGATGATAGTGATCACAGATAAATTTCGGAGGTATTGGTGATGCCTCGGGGTGAAGTCACTTATTGCACATATGTTTGGGGTGGTACGCCACGAGGGTGCTGTAAAGGAGATGGAAAGGGGAAGGGCGAGAAGTGGGACGAACAGTGTTTATGTCTAGGTAAGTTTAGTCATATGGAATAGAATAATTAAGGTAATACCACTAAGACTCGTTTCTTCTTATTGGACCAACTTCTCAGCAAGTATACTTAATCAGGTTAAAGATAACAAGCCAAATTATGGTGTTTAATGAGCAAATGATTGTATAAATGGAGGTGGTCCGAAAAAGCTGAAAGTTAAGAATTGTGTCCGGATGCCAACTGGCCATATTTCGTCAAAACTGCTATAAATTCTTTTTATTATTTCAACTTTTGGGGAGTCATTAGTGGACTCTTATTTAGCGAACTTTTACAGTTTTGCTTGTAACAGAATTTGTCAGTAGGAATGGAAACCAATTCACTGATACAAACACAAGTCAAAGAGGTATTTGGTGTAAGGAATTATCATCGATATCGTTGGTTCGTGACATCACACTAGACCGAAAGGAGCCGTAATTTAACAACCACCACGAAGAAGCTGGCAGGGAAACAGTAAATCAGAGTGGCCAGTCAAGGACTAAAAAGGTAAGGCAATCTTCGAAATCCAATAACAGAAGAACAAAGGGGTAGAACACTCTGAGGAACTCTTGAATAGACCAGTTACATCGAATCCACCAGAGATCTAAGCAGCGCCTACAGAAAGTTTTGTAGATGTCACTCCACCAACGGCCGAAGAAATTAGGATGGTTGTCAGACAAATCAAGAGCAGGAACGCAGTTGGACCCTACAACATACCAGCCGAAGCACCGAAGTCAGACAGAAGTAACTGTGAACATGCCCCACATTCTATTCAGGTAGATTTGTGAGGAAGAGCGAGTTTTTACAGACTGAAAGAAGCACACCACAATGGGCTGCCTGATTTAGTATCTGGGCTACCTCTTCCTACATTCTGCACCAATCGTTTGAGAGGATAGCCTTAGAAAATTCGTAATCGAATGTCAAATCGTTCGTAGTTTAAGATCGATTTCTGGAATCAAGCAGTGAATTACTGAAACTCCTTATCGGGACATTTAGTGTAAGCACCTCGTGTTGATAAACTCAAAGCGAGAGTGGATTTTCGCAGAAATATATGGGTCACTGAACCTCATCCTTATATGCGAAAAACATTCGTGCCAATGATGAGATAGTGAAATGAACTAGTGAATGTTTCTAATCTTTAGTGAAAGTGGAGAGCCTCCTAATTTGTTGTGGATGGAGATATCATGAGGGTTAGGCAATCTTGGCGATTCATCGTGACGAAGAGTGGGATTCAAGGGGCACTACGAAGTATAAACTACTTTTCTACTTTTAAAGCGCAGTCAAGTTTTGGAGGCTCATGTGTAAAGTGACTTAAGTGACTATCTTGAAGTCCTTCAAGACGAATCTTGATGTATTCTTAGGAATTCAAAATATAATTCCATAATCCAGCCTTCATCTACTTCCGTGGGGGGTTTATAATAACTCATGAAAAAGGCCGCTACATTGATAAAAAGATACAGGAATTGGGATTAACTTCTGTAGATAAACATTTTCCTAGTCGGATCGCAAGAGAGTATATGTTGAGTCACAATTGTCCAGCTGCATAATAATGTTTGGTGGAGTGCCACAGGGTATAATGTACTACCGAGTTCACCCCGTGAACGATGATAAGGATAAATAGGCCACGAAATGCGAATTCCTTACTGCATCAGGTATTCATGCTTAGGCTAAACCCCATTGTTTATAAAAGCTACATAAGAAATAAGTTGAAAGCTGTGATGGATAGAGATACAACACATGCTTTCACCAAAACGCTCAGGGTCACAAGCGAATAACTGTAAGGACAAATATATGTCCATATGATGACTCGAGAAGATTGATTTCTCTGTCCGAAAGTGGATTTAAACACACGGACGTCATGATAGAAAAGCCGCTACAATAATTCCGGGATCAGTGCATTTTCGCCTGGGTGTAAAATCCTTTCTACTAACATCGTCGGTCTATTTATATGTTGACGATATCTAAACATCGAGGGCCATAAAAGAAAGAATGGATTTTTAGAGTTTCCGAATACCTACGGAAATTGTCTGGGTTATTCAGGATTTGTTAGTTGCCGATACATGCTTGCAAATGCACAATGATGCATATTTGTCAACATGGTACAAATACATACACAGTGCATGATATTGAAATACCCCATTATTAAGACAAGTTGATTTATAAGTTGTCATCAATCAAGACTTGACTAGCACTCTCATGCAATGGCTTCCGGAAGTTTTAGAGTCATCTGGTCCATACATACTACCTCTAGTCTTTAAACCTTCATGACTTCGCATGCAATGCCTATTTGACATAAGCTTGAGTACCTCGTACAAGCAGTCAGCTTTTGCCTGAATAAGGCTGATCAGTTGGAAGATATTCGAAGAACCTCAGCTAAGTTGATTCCAGGAATAACAAAGCGACTGTATGACGAATGACTAAAGTAAACCTATTCCCCCTGTTACATAGGATTAGAGGCAACTTAGTCACAATCTTTAAGCTACTTAATGATGATTTCACATCCGGAATACCCTCGTTTTCCTTATATTTCAAAACTCAACATTTCCAAGGACAATTCATAAATGTTCACAAGCCCAGAACCACTTACTCGTCAAATAACTTCAGACATTTACATCGAATCATCAACTTGCAGGATTCTCTCATTTAACATGTGGTTGAATCTTTTTGTCGAGACTTTCAAAATGAACTTAGATCAACTGAGATACTTCCATCATCAGAGCTAACACAAGTCATCCAGCCTTCTGTCTCTTTCAAACTGAGACGGAATAATTTGCCAGAATATCATTCATTTCTTTACGTTTCGTGTACTCAGGTCATTACTTAGAGCCATCTTCAATTGATTGTAACTAGATATGGAGGATGGCTGGGCAAAAAACTCTTCTGTTCTTTTCTTAACTTTTTGAGCCGCATGAGTCGTTTACATGAATCAAATTCCTTGGTCGCGCTGTGAGTGTTTGCATAATGCGCGTAATAGGAAGTCAAAGTCTTGGTTGGCATTGCCCATCGTCCGGTTTCTTTTTCTTATGCAAACTTTCTGTTAAGTAATCCCCACAAACCTAGTGTGTAAACTTGTGTAGTTCTGGTGTTTCATGGATGGTTTTATGAAAGAGAGCCTATTAAAATGGATTTCATTAATAACTGAGAAGAATGTTAACCTCATAGATGGCGAAATCCTCAACAATCTAATAGACCTTTCGTAAGTTAGCAGTTTGATGTATGACAATAATTAGAGGTGCTTTTCCAGCAGTTACTACCTCAGAATGTTTCAAGGATCGAATTGGTTCATTTTTGGATGGTAAGCGATTAAGTCATCACGTTCATTATATTCAGCAACTTTTCATCCTGGAGTTTCTAATTTATTTGACATCGATGGGGTGATTTCTGGAAAAGCTAACGATGTGGAATTGTTCGGGGTAAGTTGTCTTTTCAGTTTCCATCAGTTATTGTAGCTGTTTCACCAGCCTTATAGCTAGTAGGAAGTGGTTACTTTAAGTACACACTTGATATATCTTAATGCCTGCATATTTTCCTAGCATTCTACAGTTTAGTGGGGTTTTTTTGCTGCCTTATTGAAGCCAACGAAAAAATAGTATCAGGAATGTTTTATTCTAAGCTTAAGTTTAAAAATGGATACTTGGTGTAGTTTCCTTTTTTCTCCATTGGTTATCCAATTCCCAGGGGTGAAAATATGGACCAATAAAGCTGTACTGGAGATTCCGGATAGCCTTGGGAGTATCCACTGTCGTATCTGTTGCCACTTTCTCAGGTAGGATGTCCAAGTCGTCAATCACTCAACAGGAGCATTCTCGTCTTTTGTCGCGTAGTAGCTGTTTAAACATAGCCCGTACTATTATTTGTGTATAAAAGTGCCCTTCTTATTTTGCACTGTAATATATTTAGTTGAACTGAACTTACCTTATTTCTCTTCAGTTATGCCTAACCGTTTTATTGGGATGTCTTCAATGTCCCTCCAAACAGTTGTTCATGGATCCTGCTTTGGATTTGAGTTTGGATATGCAAACTGCCATATTTCATTTGATTCAAGTTCCTATGACCCAGTTATCCCTCAGTCATGAGTTCACTCGGGATCTGGTCACAAGCAGAATTCTCGATTCATCACATCTTATCCACACTGATAACTTGCCACCTCTTCATCAAACCATTACTTGTAAAATAGAAGTAAGTCCCACACTTGTACTTGGCTTCAGATAATACCTCTTCAAAGTTTTCTGATACATGTTTCTAATAAAATTACTCAGTCACTACTATACAAGCTTCAACACACACTGAAAGGTCTGTGTATCGTCCTAGCAAATAAACTAACGTGTTGGTTGGAATTGTATGACAGAGACTTAACTCAGTCAGTCAGTAACAACGTAGAACTTAGTACGTACGTAAATCAGTTCGAGTTGTCACACCACATTACCACAGAGATACAGTTGTCAACTCAAATTCCGTAGTGGTAGAGGTAGTAAGAGTATAAGCAGTAATCGAAAACATTAGGGTTTGAAGATGTTATTCAAAGAGTATAATCCAGTGAAATAAATTTGGAAAGAAAATGGTGGACATGAAGAATTCAGAAGATTAGAATTTGGGAGAACACAAAGAGTGGATGCACCTGCTCCACTGCAAACGATTTTGATCTATTTCATTCAAGGTCTCTAACCATCGGTTGCTATCATTTCGCGGTCCCCAACCAGGTAGTTTATACCTACCAACATGACTCAGTTCACTTGTCAGTGACTTCATGGATTTGTGTTATGTTTTGGTCTGGCCTGCCCTAGCTTTCTAACCTACTCCTACACGATAAAACATCGCACGTCCGGTATTCACAACTCTTATATAGACGATTATCTGGTTTTGTTTCATTACTGAATCGTAACTTTTAATTTGCTTATACAGGAAGAAGTCTCAGAACCATCATCTAGGCCACCATCTTCAACAGACACGTGTAACGGACAAAAAGTGATTTGTAATGACAATAGAAATTATAGTCTTTCGGTGAACACATTGGGATCTGAATTCACTCGCCCTAATTCGCCTACAGAATATGCTAATAGACATACAAACAAGCTAAAGAATGGTATTGATCACAGGCCCAATAATCTTTCATTGTGTAACACTCCTGACCGAAGTCTGTGTATTGCATCCAGATTGAATTTAACCGATAATTCGGAACATAATGCGAATCATACTCATCATGCGCCTCCACCTCTAGCCTCGCCTCTCACATCCCTAAAGTTCCTCCTAGATTCTCCATCATTGACACACAAGGTAAACATACATGTCTTTTTAGTGTTCTTGTGAACTATTTTTCACCTCAACTCATGAAGTTTTCTACGGTTATTTACATTACTTGGTTTTATATTTTGTTATTTAAAAAGGTTTAAATTTAACTGACACAGTGGTAAATTTTTTTCTACTGATTCCAAACTAAGTGGTTCCATAATATTAAAACTGCTGATGTACCACATAGAAATATACCTCCGTTTTTATGTTTCTAGTCAAACTACATTCATTGCCATTCTATTTATTGCAATTTATATAATTTTATCCGATTGGTTAGTACCGTACATTTTCGGCTAATAACCACTAATTTTGAACTTGACGATGGTCGTAGGTAATTGGACTAAGCTTGGTTTCCCGATGTTACCCGAATCATTACAATTTAAACCATCATGTTGGTTTGAACCCCTAAAAACTCCAGTTTGGGTAGCTTAAGTATACATGGACTTCATGCACAACTGTGACTCAAAACTGAGTACATTAATATGCATTTAAAAATTAAGTTAAATCAATGCTTTCGTTATTTTAAACGAAAATTCAGTCTTTTGACTCTGCGGTAGTATGAAATTGTATATGACACTAACTGCTTGGTCATACGTAAACTCGGCGGTACTATTTACCGCGTTTTTGATGCAGTTTTCAAAGCCATGGTTGATTAAGAGGTTATCTCTATAAGCCGCAATTATTGTCCAAGCCTCTCTGCATCTTTTCTGGATGTTTCGTGCAGATCGTAGTGCTTCCTACTGATGAGGTTCAGCCTGGGCACTCAAATCGAATTATACGAATCTACTCTTAGTTAACAACTCAAACCTTTACACATTGCATAGTTATTAAACGATTGTGCTCAAACTATGCTATCTAACCAAAACTAATATGAAGAGAGAGAGAAATAGGCACTGCAGTAAGGTCCTAGATTTCATGGGCGACTATGAGGTGTACTTCTCACTCTGCATGTCATAGTCCTGTTTTTTAGTCAAAATATCCATTCCATGCTTTTCTAGTTGTAAGACTTATGAGACCTGTTTTGGCCTATTTTGCAGACACAATTTCGGGAATCAGAACGTGAAAAGCGTCGTTTAGCAGTGGAACTTGAAAAGGAACGAATTTGTAGAGATGAAGCGGAGAGTTTAGTTTCTGGATTACGAAAACAGCTTGAAGAAGCCACTGTTCGAGCAACTGAATCAGAATCACGGGCTCTCCGTTTATCTCGTGAACTAACAGCCCTTCATGATCAGGGAGATGAATTAGCACACTGTCGTAATGAATTGGCTTTGCGAGAGGAAGAAATTAAGAAGTAAGTTGTCCTAATCATTATTTCTTGCACACCGACTTCGGTGGCTTGGACATGTTCTACGAATGTCGTCCCAGAGAATTCCTCGTCGTGCATTATTTGCCGACTCTGGGACTGGTTGGAAGAAGCGGAAAGGTGGTCAGTGCATGACATGGTGTCGTGGTATGAAAGAAAGCTGCAAAGGACTGGCTTCTGTCGGTCCTTCACGACTCCCTGGTTGGGGTCCGAGAGATGGTGCAACACAGTGGCTAGAGACGTTATCAGATATGGCTCAGAATAGAAGCCAGTGGCGATCCTGCTGTAACCTTCTTTTACTTTCTTCATAAAAAGTGGTTGTGTCTCCTTTACCTGAAAGATTTCTTCTGATTGTACCTTTCCGTTCCCTCATTTCTACCATACTACCTTACATCAATCTCTTCGTTATTGTTCTCTTTTTCTTTTTGCGCTCCTTAGTTTTTTTTCTATTTCTCTTCGAATTCTCATTGTTTTGTGTGGCGCATATATATTGGCGCTCTCTTGTACCAATATTCATGTGTTCAAATAAATAAATAAATAATTCTTGCACAACAGATGACTGGGCTGTGGATCTCCTGATCCATCCTCTCTCCTCCAAACACTTGAACGCCGCCACACCTGCAGACCAACAGCTGTTTCTTTATGTCAGGATCCGCTTCGATTTGTTGGGGAAAGCCGTATTTGATAATTTTCTGTTGAATAATTCTGCACTTGAAAAGTTTAGTAAGACTGTACACAAACACCTCAGAATAAGGTCACAGAATTATCTCTAGTCCAAACGTAGTGGTTGACAGGGTTGTGCACTTTCTCCATTCCTCCTTGATTTTGCTGTCAACAATATTTTGCAAGCAGCTTTGAAGGAAGTACGTGTTGATTATGTGGATCTGTTACCTGAAGAAAAGACTCATTGAATATGCAGATGACATGGCCGTACCAGACGATGCTATTTAAACCCCCCATTTTACCGTTTCGTTTTATAAATGAATAAATAAAGTATTCGTTAAAGTTAAATTTCCACATACCAATCTTTTTTCGTAACTTCTTTTTTTTGACTCAGTTTGAAACTACGCGTTATGGGCTTTCAAGACTTAATGGCTCATACACGAAAGTTGGAAATGGAAAAAATTGATTTACAGCAAGAATGTGAAGATCTTCGTCTGAAAGTAAGCAGTTTATTACATGTACCTTTATTCATTCTATATGAAGGTATTCAAGTGTAGGCTAGTCTTTTTTTGCTTAGACATCATTGCGGTTTGACTCAGTCATTTTATTTATTTATTAAAACACGTTAACATTGGTACAAGGAGGCACCAAATATATATGCGTCATACAATGATAACGAGGTTGTAAAGAGATAGAGAACGTAAAGTGCGTATAACAAAAGAACAACGACGAACAGGAATTGGTGTATGAGGGTGAAATAATAATAATGATAATAATAACAATAACAATAATAATAGGAAAAAAGTCCAGTTAAGAGAAATACAACCGAAAAGAATTCTTTTGGTTGAAGAAGTTACGTTCATTTTTTTATGGAGAACGTAAAATAAAGTTACATCAAGATCGCTACTGGCTTCCGTTCTGAGTCATGTCTGGTAACTTCTCTTGCCAGTGTTGCACCATCTCTAGGACCCTAACCAAGGAGTTGTGAAGGACCAACAGAAGCCTGTCCTGTACAACTTTCTTCCATACCACGACACTGTCATACACTGACTACCTCTCTGCTCCAGAGATGTCCCTGATTGGCAGAAGCTACTCTGGCTTTCACCACACATAAATTGATCTAGTCGTTCTCGCTACCATCAGGACTTGTGCAGCTACCCAGATATACGAACTTCTCAACTACTTTTATCCGCTCACTACTCAGGTTGAGTTCAGGTTCAGGGTCTTGTCAATTTTGTAAAAGTACCTCGCATTTGGAAGGTACAAAGCAAATACCGTACTTGCGGACACTAATTGCCAACTGATTAAGTGCGTATTACATGGCTTAGGTGTTATTCCACAGTAAGACAATATCATTCGCATACTCAAGATCGAGAAGTCTTTCTCCAGACAACAGATCCACACATCCATCAGAGCTGTTTCCAGAACATCGTCGATGGAGAAATTGAAGAGGAATGGTGAGATTGGGCAACCCTGTCTCACCTCACTGCTTGAATGGGACAATGCAGAGAATTTGTTGTATACCCTCACTCTGCCTAAGGTGTTTGTATATAGGGCTTTCAAGGTGTTAATGAACTTTTTAGGCATACCCCTCTTCAATAGACAATCCCCAAAAACAGTCCTGTCCAGCGAATCGAAGGCGACCGTAATATCAAGAAACACTACGATTGTTAGCTTTTGATAAGTATGACGGTGTTCTAGCATTCTTGACAAGAACAAAAACTAGACTGCTCATCGCAAGTCAATATTCCTCGGGTTTTGAACAATCTACGAAGGATGACTGAAGCCAATAGTTTGGACGCAATAGAAAGTAGACTTACCCCTCGATAGTTGTTACAGAAACGACGTGAACCCTTTTTAAAGATAGGGACAACTATCGACTCATTCCATTATGTTGGAACACTCTAATTGCCAGACGTTTGTAAACAGTTCAGTCATTTCCTTAACCGGAAAGTCACCACCATCTTTAAAAAGGGCCAGAGGTAAGTCATCTGGGCCTTGTGATTTGTAGCGCTTCAATGGTTGGAGTTCCTTGCGGAATTCCGCCTCGTTAGGTGGATCAGTAAACGTGAGAAGTGTAGAATTGATGGGTTGGGGTTTACAATGGATTTTAGAACACATGCTTCATCCTATTTGGGACCATCAGGTGGATGCACCTACATCATCCGTGTTGATGTTTACGTTGGGAATCGAACACAGTTTCCGCTTCAAACGTCAATGCCTTTTACATCGAGCTACTGAGTCAAGTAGTTATTGACTTATTCAACTGGTTTCATATTCATATTGATATGTGATTCAAAAAGAGCAAATCCGTTTCTCCTAGCCATCAATATTTGATGTATATACCAGTAAAATTGTTGAACTAAACAATATCTTATCATTACTTTTTCTATAGATCATCAGCTCAAAGAGATAATGTGTGTCGATTTTGTGTGGTGAGAGTTTCTACTAGTTAAATAGGTCAAAGTAAATTAATGAATATGTAATAATAATAATAATAATAATAAAAACGATGATAGTTCCAGATCACATCAAACTGGTTTCTGTCTACTATTCAAAAGGTAAAAGATCGTCTCTAAGATGTAGTTTTATCTGTTGGAAGAAATGTATAGGGTTATGCAAGGAGGTATGTAAAATCCATTATAGGCCAGCTATATTACGGGAACTTGGTAGCCATGAATATGTTCGATATTGGGGTTTCATTTCCACTAATATCAGTGTTTAAAATCTTCGCACCTAATAGAGTATAATAATTTTATGGTTCAGCCGTAAGCACATTCTTCTTTGAGTTTAAAATTTCAATCTTCGGAATGAGTATATTGACATCTGCTGTATTATACCTTGAATTTGAGGTATATTAATTGTTTATTGGACTATTGTTTAGTTCTACTCCTCACCTATACTTCGGTTTTAGAAAGTCACTGTAGTATTACTGACTTATGTACAATATCTACGGCTCAAAGCGTCGTACTTATAAACTTATACTTAATTACTTCGTTGTATCACGTTTAAAGTAAGTCAATTAAAATAGTTTTCTTATAATTACTTCCAAACATCATACGATCCATGGCATATGTTGGAAAGAAAGGTTATATACTTTGTACACTAAATATTTGTGTTCACTTTTTTCTTTTACGAAATCTTATAAAATTTACTTTTTTTTTGTCGTTATAGTATAAAATAACAAAAACGTTTTAAACTTTATTATTGATAGGTAGATCAACAGCTTTCTCAATTAAGAGAGTTCAAGGAAAGACGTATTAAGTGTAGTGAAATTGAAGAACTCAAGTCAAAATTACGTGATGTTGAAGCTCAAGTAAGATTTATATCTAAGAAAATATTTTTGAATAACTAGAGTAACCTATTGTGTCATTGAATGAAGGATTAATGTAATTCAGCGAAGACAATTTTCTTTTCAACGATACCATTTACTGAAGCTGTTCAATCATATAGTGATTTATTAAAAACGAATCTTTAAAAATATAAGTGTGCTTATTAACATACAAAACCATTCTCTATCACACAGTACTCCTATTTACGGCTAGCACAAACGAATATGAATTATAAGTGAACCTGTTACTTGATATTATGCGAGCCTTAAACTATGATTCATTTGATAACATGAATTATTAAACTGGAAATCGTGTTTTTGTGCGTTAAAATCACCATAGAACAAATGGATAGAATTTTATGACATGTATCAGTTAGCAGTGGACTAATTTTACTCTAGGCCGATCTATGAGTCCCCAAATGCCCTGGTACGGCCGAGAGTGGGGAGTCCGCTCTCCCTCTCGAAATGTTCCCACATGGCCACGCGTATATAGCCTCTGCCAGGCAAGTCCTACTCACTGCCTTCTCGTGGCGGGGGTGTTGTTTACAAAAATGAGAGGACGAAAAGCGAATGTCCGGCGCTTTAACCGGATTCTAAACCAATGGTGCACATGGGCTCCAGTATCCTGCGGGAACAAATGGCGTATGAACCAATTGTTGGTCACCGGCTACCATGGGACTGCATCTCAATACCATGCCCCACTGCCTTGAAAATCAGACCTTCAGGTCGAAAACTCGGGGAGTGGCCCCCTAAGAAAACCACCTGCTTCGGTTTGGGTACCCGTGCAGTATCACAGCCCTCACACATATCGAATGAGATTTGTGTGGCGCATATGTCTTTGATGCCTCATTGTACCATTATCTATGTGTTGAAATAAAATAAATAAATATTTATTTTCTCAAAGCAGCGGCTCAGTGGTTGAGACGTTTGACTTCCAGCCACTAAGCTGCAGGTTCTGATCCCACTCCGACTACTTCGGTCCGGGCAACGATATAGTATTCATAATCTTTACACTTCGAATAAGGCTCAAAGCCAAGTACACAAATTTACACTTCTGGTGGCTACTGACAAGAAGGATTGTGATTTTTTCTATAATCGCTACACTTATTCAAGCACACAGCTAATTCGATATTCACTTGTAAGCTGGAGGGTGTTTGACATATGTTTCGTATTAGTTGATACCCATCAGTATGGCATATCTCCAATCTATTTTGTAGTATAATTCCATTAGGTGTTGGCTCGAATGCTACCATATCATCCATGCTCTCTGTCGAAGTTCTTGTTATCATTGTTATTCATATTGTATTCTAACAGTTATTTTCTATTCATAGTATGTCTTATGAAACGTTTTCGATTGTAATTTTTAAGTTGTTGCAACAGCTACGTGAACGTGAAATGATCGAAAAGGATATAAGACAACAACATGAAATGTCAACACAGCTTAAACTGCAATATTCCATAAAAAATCTTCAACCCAATAATAAATCATTAGATATTCATCAATCTAAGTCTAATATAGAAGAAATTGAATGTAGTGAACAAGGAAATAAAGTTGGTAAGTTGATTTGTTGATTTATCATTATTTTATTAATATACACTAGTTTTATCATTGACTAGCTTACTTACTTACGCCTGTTACTCCTCGTGGAGAGGTGCATAGGCCTCCCACCAATACTCCATCCAACCCTGTCCTGGACAATCCTTCCCAGCGCTTTCCAGTTGTTATTCATCCTTTTCATATCTGCTTCCATTTCCCGACGTAGTTTGTTCCCCGTCATCCCACTTTTTCGTTTCCCTTCAGGATTCCAAGTCAGTGCTTGCCTCGTGATGCAGTTTGGTGATTTGCGTAATGTATGTTCTATCCATTTCCATTATCTTTCCCTAATTTTCTCTTCATCTGGAAGTTGGTTTGTTCTCTCCCACAGTAGGTTGTTGCTGATGATAACCAGCCAATATATGCTGAGTATCTTGCGTAGACAACTATTTATAAATACTTGTAACTTCTTGACGATAGTTGTAGTAGCTCTCCGCCTGTAGCACTTCTAGAGTTACTACCGGTCCCAAGCCTGGATAAAGGAGGAGGGTTGGGCATGGGGTATGCGGTTAGCAACTCCATCCCATAGAAAACTAACTGGCTAAAAAACACTATCATTGACTAGCACTCTACTTTAATGATTTATATTGAGGATACTGTATTTCCAAATACATATTACAAGAATAAAAATCAATTTTAATTTTGATTCAGTCGATTTCAACGCATTTCCTTGATTTTTATCGGTTAATTTTCACTGTGTGTCAGTTGTATTTGGTTATTTGTTTCTCAGTACATTTTCATTATAGTGATTATTTCACTGATTTTCTATTCTATAATAATTATTCAATTAATGAAACTCTAATTAATAATCATTAAATTAGCTTGGATGTAAATTGAATCTTCTTCAGTCTCGTCCAACAAAAATTGTTAACAAGATTCTTGGATTAACTGGGGGGGGGTGGACTGGAAGTAGATAGAGTTGTTTTGTACGTTATCACAACTTTTGTTCGAGTTTTTGCCGCATATCTGGTATGCGCCTTCAATTGTTGAACCTAAAAAACCTTATAATAATTCTAAATAAAGCCAGAATAAACATGCATGCAGAATAATGTGAATTCATTGTATTTCGTGGTTTGTCATCAGCTACTTACGTTAAGGTAAGATTTAGTGCCAAACAATCGACATATGTGAATGAAAAGAATTGGAATGACAAAGGTTATCAATAATAACTCTCTATACGTGTGCAGGAACTGTTCGGATGTCATTTGGTACTGGAATCAAAAACCAAGGGGTGGATAATGTATTAATGAGGTTCAGAGACAGATAAAATAAACTATATGATAATTATAGAGGTAATAAAGGGTTTACACAAGATTCCTGGAGTTCAAAAAACTGATGAGTTACATAATAAATGAACAGGATTTGAAGAGTTTACATAGGTGAAGACTATTGAGTGAATTGAAATGTCTAAGTGAAGGGGTGATTTTAATGTATAGAAAAATTCTGATGTCGGCATTATGCACTTGGTGGTCCCACTATTCTCAAGCAGTATTTGAAAAATTTCTGTTGTCTAATCCCTGTGTCTCATAGCCGCAAAATTCTGAGAAATATTCCTATCCCTTAGTAGGTAAACGGATGTGTTGTCTGCTTCACAGATGGCTCAACCAAGTTCTTGTCTATCGTTTTATTATGTGCACAATCCTATTCCTGTGCTTCATATCAATATTACCATCAGATTTTCTAACAACAGGTTAATTTACTATGATTTTCCATGTAGACATAGTTTCCATTACAGATCATGAAGATTAGCGAAGACTAAATGTGGCTGAAAACACAATCTCGTGTAGCTGCACAAGTTTACATAGTTCATTAGAACTGTCACTCAGTGGTTCCAGTGTATTTTCGTTAGTTGGATGACATTTTATTTTGTTGTGGACTTATAGTCTCAATGACCTTGTTTAGATTGTCGAATTAATGTAAATAAATAATACATGAATATAACACCTAATGTTGAAAATTTTTATCTCATACTGTCCTTAATTTCTATCTCAGCCAGTTTGTAGTTATGTTAAACAAAATGTGGATTATTCATTCACATGGTGTTATTCAACCAACTAACCGTTGATTAAAAAGATGGTTTGTTTCTGTCCAATCTGTCAGTTAAGATAAATGTCTGTAAACTATTCCCCCCCCCCGCGAAAAAAACCAGTTTACTATTATGAGTATATATACATAAAATATTTTTCAATCAACCAAATTCTGATCATAATTCTAAAATCGATTTCATATGAATACTATGACTGATAAAACCCATGAAATGCATCTGTACAGTCGCGAAGAAAAGTGGTATATCTAATGATAACGGATGCACACTACAGGATTCGCAAATACCAACATGTCATAGAGGACCAAAAGATGAAGCTGTAAAGGACACTCACGTCAGAACATTTGGAAATCTTGACAACAGCCGTCGAGATATCATGCAAACGACACAGAGAACAAAGAAGAAACACCTTAAAGAAAAAACCAATCAAGATCTCAAAACCACCCATAGAAGAAACGCACAAACAACTGCGTGATCAATCTGTCAAAACAACCAATAACAAATACGGAAGAAAACCTACTTCAAAAAGGATTAAACTACAATACAAGCGACGCCTCAAAGCTGGGATTCTTCGCAGCACTAGAGTCATCACTCAAAACTTCCGGAATCAGTGAAGAAACACAACAGGAAATAAGACAAACTATAGTACCGCTAACTCAACAGGTGAAGGAAAACAACCAACTGACTCCACAAGAACAAAAGGCTTTGAAGGAACTCAGAAATAGAAAGGATATTGTCATAATACCAGCGGACAAAGGACGCACCACAGTAATCATGGACAAAGAAGAATACGTTAAAAAAACCCGAAGAACTACTTGAAGATAAGAGCACATACAAACTGATGGATACAAATACCGTCAAAAAATTAGACAACCAGATCTCAAAGACTTTAAACAAGCTAGTCAAAGCAGGAAAAATAACAAAACAAGACCAATGGAGAATGAAATCCAATGGACCAGAAAATAAAAAGGAAGAAAAATAGTCACAAATACTGTTAGGTTAAGACCTGAGTTCACCAGTGTTTTTAAGATTCAGTGGAATAATAGCCACCCAAATATACCCAGGCAATTCATTGGTTACAAATCCGGAAATCTCATTTGTAGCCTCTTTTTATCTTAATGAATCTTCAATTCAATTTACATAATGTGCACAGAAAATAAGCATTTGAAATCTACTGATACTATATCAATTGCAACACACTGACTAGAAGTTAAATGCTTGTATTATTGTCGGTCAGATTATGTTATAAATATGTACATAAAGAAGAAGGTATACACACAATATTTCTGTTCAGTTAAAAATCATGTTTCTACTAATGTTCCAGCTGATAAAAGTCACCAGTATATCTTGTGTAAAGAAAATAATAATTCAAACAATTAAGAGTATCAAAACACGTTTGCTTTATTGTTACTGAGGGGACTTATACACCTTCATGGAGGAGATCCAATCAAATGTGTTTATGCATAGTTACATTGAAGATTGAAAATCACTACTATCTAATAATGTAAATTAAACTGTCTATTCGGGTTTTCAAAAAATCGAACCAGTATACATCCTGTCAGATTCTACGTTGACTATGACTAACTGACTGACTCACCATCTGTCCTAGTTAATTGTAATTGTATGTCGTAAATCTAGGGCATTCATTTTATCTGATCTTATTTACTCGACTGACGAAGTCTGATTTGTAATTCCATGATCGTACCGAGCTATATCAAGTATCACCAGGTTTCATCGAACAAATCTAGTTTACAATTTTATACTTGGTCCTGAACGGATTTATTAAGTAGATATGTTGATAATAAACATGATTCTAGTAACCTACGTATATCATTTGAAATTTGTCTAAATTATTTATATCTTATGGCTTTCTTTGTCATTTAATCGTCACGTACCGATCATTTTATTGAATGAATATATATCTTAGGAAAATTCTGATCAACACCTTTCTATCATATAATCATGTCAGTTATGAACAAGTACTTAAAATAGGATGATACTCGATATCTTTTTCAACCAGTAGGTTGTAAGTTCTAATCTAGGTGCATTTACTTTCAGACAATTGAGTTGTATCGTTAACCTGTACATATAAATAGTCGAACATACAAAACTATCCTTGGTAAATGAGTTATATAAAAGAAATAGTAACCTTAACACCGTAAATCCTCATTTTTATATGAAATTTTATGTACGTTTAACTACTTTTATTTTTATTTTAACACATAGATATTGGTACAAAGAACCACCAAATACATATGCACCACACAAATCTCATTTGATATGTGTGAGGGCTGTGATACTGCCCGGGTGCCCAAACCGAAGTAGGTGGTTTTCTTGGGGGGGGGGCACACCTAGAGCCTTCGACCTGAATGTGTGATCCACAAGGCAGTGGAGCATCGTAAGGAGATGCAGTTTCATGGTAGCCGGTGACCAACGATTGGTTCATACGGCATTTGTTGCTCCAGGATCCTGGAGCCCATGTGCACCATTGGTTTGGAATGAGGGTTTTCCAACTCCCTTAGGTAGACTCTCCGTGTGTAGCAATCCGGTTAAAACGCCGGACATTTGGTTTTCGTCCTCTGAATTTTGTAAACAACACCGGTGGTGCGAGAAGGCAATGAGTATGACTTCCTTGGCAGACACTATATACGCGTGGTCATATGAGAGCATTTGAAGAGGGAGAGCTGACTCTCCCCACTGTCGACCGTACCAGGGCATTTGGGGGCAATATTGTTAATCGTGTTCACTGAAATCCCACCAACATTATTTCTGTTCTAATTTCTGATGATATTCACTTATTCAGTTTATAGTTTATTTAAACCACACCGTTGTTGTTTGCATTTTTATCCTAAAGTTGATCAGCATCCCATTTTGAATAATTCATGTCAAGATTTGTCTATTTTGAAACCCGGTGAAAATTTGGGAACAGTATTAGAGGATGATTTGAAATCTGCCCGTTTATTCATATCGAAACTACAAGTAAGCTTATTTCAATCAATGTGATTGTCCATTTATTCTTTCACAGGTTGATTTTCAATAAGTTCTGAGGACATTTCGTAGAATTGTCAATATAACATATAGTCCCATAGTCATAAACAATATATAGCGATGAACGGAACGTTTGACCGTTGTTTCTTTAATGTGGTCTAAGGAGTTTTTTTTATATATTTCATATGATTAGATGTTAAGTTTTGTGTACTTCAGCTCAAGAAATTAAGTAGTATCTTAGTTTGATATATAGCTTATATTCTAATAGGTTTATCCTATTACAGTTTTTAAATCGTGTTTCGTCATAGCAGACAGACCTTAAATATTGGTTAACTGTTGGTTCACGATATAAAACTCAGTGTATTTATACTGTTATATAATTCTCAGTAGTGTTATCTGTTTGCTCAAATTCCATTAAGTCAAGTAGAGTTCAAGTTAATGATCCAATAATTAGGTTTGTTTTGTATAAAAGAACTTTTTTGTAATAATAAAAGTCATAGTTATTCTTTTTTGCTTATCTGTTTTTTATACTGATAAAACATTTAAATAATCAACACTGACCTAGTGGTTATTTCGTTACTCAGTTCATCATGGACATTCATTCATTTATAAGACAAAAGCGAATACCCGTACCTGTTGTTCTTAAATACGTTACTGTCATTAAGTGTTATGTACTCTTATAGTTGACAATCTGAAATATCAGTCACATCGTTATAAACACAATGATACTTACCTTTATACAATGACCGAATTTATGTGTTTCGATTGATTACACTTAACTCTTCGGATCAAATTTCTTGATAGATTTTATTAGACTTACTAATACTAACAAATATCCATCATAATTTTCTTGGTGAATTTGTTATTATCATGCAATATATTTTCACACATTACTATTCATAAGAATGTTTTCCAAGTTTTCCACAGGAAACGTTATTTTTCGCTTATTGCGATTCAACACACACTCACTCTTCCTCGCTTCTATCACATTTGTTGTAAATCATCTATCTCCGAGTTTACATGTTCCCGTCAAACCAATCAATAGTTAGAGATTCTTATTATTAATATTATTATTATTATTATTATTACTATCATTACCCCTGTTACGTCATCGTATTTTCTGATTCCTATATGTGTAGAAATTTTCTTTATTATCTAAATTTCTTTTTTCTTTCAGTCACAATTCGATGAAGAACTTGGTTCAGCTAGACAACTGCTTGAGGAAAAAACTAAGCGTTTGTATGAGCTTGAACAAATGATCAGTAATAGGCTATCAATAACTGAGGTAAGAATCTTGCATAACTCTGTTTAACATATAAACGAGTTTCCTTTTTTTATTCTTAAATAAAGGATATCCGCTTTTTATCTCACCTATATTCATTTTCTGACAGACTACTGATGTCACTACTCAAACTGAAGTGTCTTGTACAACAAGAACGACAACAACTAGTCCTAATGAATTATTATCACCGGAATTATTGCCCGCCTTAACGGTTGATGCGTACAGTGCTGCGGCAGCAGCAGATCGAAGAGGTCTTTCGAACGAATTAGTTCGTTTACATGAAGAAATAGCTCAATCAAAAAGTTATGCTTGTGAATTGGAACAACGGTTAACTGAAATGGTGAGTTACTCGTTGATATTATGTGAAATGTTTTCTATCCTGAAGCGTAAGTCATTTGTAGTTGCGTAGGTTACTTACTCCATGTATTCTCACTCTTAGTCAATGATAATCTAATTCTTAAAGTAATTACTCCATTAAAAAGTAATTCAAACTGTGAATTCATGATGATCATGTTTGTTTCGCATGTCTAATCGTTGATAACTGTAGCATGCTATTTTTGTTAACTGCTAGATACGTTTTCATCGTAAAAATTCCATTTGCTTCTTTAATAGGGGTTAATTGTTAATTCACTGTTAGGTGACGACTTAGTAGTTAAAGCATTCGGCCTTCAGAGGTTCAAACCCCGATTCATCCATCTTAGTTTAGTGATTCGGTTATTATCACTAACTTTCATACACAGTATGGATCAAAAGTCTAGTACCTTGATGTGTACTTGTTGAATGGTTTGCATTAATTTGTAAAAAATATGCTGTAGATTGTTTTCCACTGGTATTATTTTTCCTAACAACCACTTAGTGCCAATATTCCTATCATGTGACCATGAATTTTGTAATTGTTTCTTTCAGCTTGTAAAATCGATTATTTTAAGCTTATAAGACATTAGTTTACATTGATTGATTTTCTCTTTCACATTTTTTCCCCTGTTTTGACTGACTATGAAATAAATACTACAGTCTACAGTCACATTCCGATTCCTTACGTTCTTTCTTGTTTAATAGTTTTCACTACTGCACTTCATTTGATTTGACGTTAATCAGAACAAGATTGAGTTAAGTACGATATAGATTTCCATAGAATTGGAACAGTAATGAACGTTTGTATTAATACCAAAGTTTATAAATAATTTATATATTCTGAAAATATTAATAACAGAATTCATGCCAGTTTACAGGGGTATGATCAATTTGATATAAATAGTAACATTAGATGTACAGAAGAAACATGTGATAGAAGAAAGTTTTAAGTGTACTAGTTCAGTAATTGTTTAGGTAGTACATGTATTACAGCGATCCAATTCATCAGCCGGGAGCTAATAATTTTTCTCAAGTGGACATCCTGTTGAACGGTGTAATTAAGGTCATTTCGTGTGCCAGATCGCAATAATGATAATTATCTACAACTAGAGAAATGAAAACGAAAACAGAGAGCATGGAACAACAAAGCAGTAATTATCAAAATATGTCAATCAGATCTACCAAATTGCGTGTCATGTGACACAATGATATACTGTTGATGTTATTCAAATGAGTTGAACTTGCTGGGGACGGTGTTAACATAAAGTGGCAGCAAGTAGGTGGTTTTACTTAGGGAATACACTAATAAGCCCAAGTTTATTGTGTCTAGAATTATAAGTTAAGGTACAATCAGCTCCAAGAATATGATGTGTAAATCGTCTCTACTGATTCCAGCCTTAATTTATCCTTTATGCACGCACTGCTAAGAATAAACTTGCAATATTCTAGAAATGATCGAACACAAACTTTGTACATTAAAATAAGTGACTGATTGTTATAAAGGTTTCGAGTTATGTAATGTACAAGACGTTGAGGCTTAGAGGTCAATATCTGTTCTGTAAACGACAATTCGTGGGAGTATCTAAGTCCTAAGTCTACTACTGTATGTGACCTAGATAACACTTCTCCATTTATGGTAAGGTCTAGGTTGAGTGATGTATTGCCGAAGCATATCCATCCACATTTAGCTATATTAATTGTTATTCGGAGCAAGACTTGAAACACCGACTTCGGTGGCTTGGACATGTTCTACGAATGTCGTCCCAGAGAATTCCTCGTTGTCCATTATTTTCCGACGCTGGGGCCGGTTGGAAAACGTGAAGAGCTGGTCAGTGTCTGATATGGTGTCGTGGTATGAAAGAAAGCTGCAAAGAACTGGCTTGTGTTGGCCCTTCACGACTCCCTGGTTGGGGTCCGAGAGATGGTGCGACACAGTGGCTAGAGACGTTATCAGATATGGCTCAGAATAGAAGCCAGTGGCGATCCTGCTGTAACCTTCTTTTACTTTCTTCATAAAAAGTGGTTGCTTCTTCCTTAGCTAAAAGATTTCTTCTGATTGTACCTTTTCGTTTCCCCCATTATTATTATTACACTAATCTGTTCGTTATTGTTCTTTTCTTTATGCTCCTCACATTTTTTCCTTCTCATCTTCAAATTCCCATTGTTTTGTGTGGCGCATATATATTTGGTGCCCTCTTGTACCAATATTCGTGTTCAAATAATAACGAATAATAATAAGCTGTATTAAACTTCAGCCGCCATTTTGGGCACCACTGTGCTACCTTGTTAAGCTCTATGCTGATGCAATTTCGCATATTGTTAAGCTCATGAAAAGAAGATGAATACATTACTTTAAGATCATCTGGATATAGCAGAGGCTTACCCACACAAAAACTTTCACAAATATCATTGATAAACACTAAAAAGGGCAAAGGGCATTAGACACTACCTTGTATTACACCAATTCTAACAGGGACAGCGTTAGACAATAAAGAGTTAATTTTAACTATTTGATGTCGATTGCTGAGAAAGGAATCAAACCAAGCTAGCAAAGGATTTTGAACCCCGTAAGATGCAAGTTTACCTATAAGAAGTTGGTGGCTAACCATGTCGAAGGCTAGAATTTACACGAGTAGCTTCTATATGATTCGTCCATTCCTGTTTTCTTGCTAAAAACGAACCAATCATCATAGATTTGAGCTTTCACTGATCATGTAATCGTCAGGATTCTTTATCCTGTTAACATTATCTTAATCAATGACGAATGTATTCAGTCAGTCAGTCAGTAACAACGTAGAACTTCGTACGTACGTACATCAGTTCGAGTTGCCACACCACATTAGCACAGAGATGCAGTTGTCGATTCAAATCCCATAGTGGTAGAGGTAATAAGAGTATAAGCAGTAATCGGGAAGATTAGGGTTTGGAGATGTTATTTATAGAGTATAATCCAGTGAAATAAATTTGGAAAGAGGAAAAAAGGGACGTGAAGAATTCCGAATGTATTATGGATTATTTTGTGAAGACTTATGAGTACCACATGTCTTGTAAGTCAATGTACAAGAAATCTGATGTTTCAGTCAGTACACGATCTACTGTTTTAATAACAAGTGGCTAACTAACCATCTAGTGTTCTATGTGGCAAAATAATTAACTTCAACACCTGATAAGGCTTGGTAAAATTTTCATTAGTATATTTAAGTGGATTTTAAACAATCCATTGTAATTGATGAAAGCATCTTGATCGTTATTAGTAAAGTAAATTTCTTCGCATGAGTGATTGATAAAGATGCTGTTTATGGAAACGTACTTTGAGCAGTTTCTAATTTTAACGTCTAATCAGTCTACCACTTTATACAAAAACCAAGCCTATAACAAATCAAATGAATATGGATTTTAGATTAGTGTAGATATTAATAATTCATAATGGCGTAGAAATTTTAGAACTCGTTTGTTTTATACCTTCATTGATTCAATATAATATAATGACTTTTAATCAACACATTTCAGATCTCGCTCTATCTACTTACTTCAGCTCCAGTAACTGATTATTCTCTTGCTCCTTAAAGTCGATTACATCAATATTTGTAACTGTTACTTACTTGAGCTAGACCAACTTTGTAATACTTCAACAGAGAGCGAGAGAGAGAGAATCGATTCATTAATTTAAACCTAAATCACTTTTGTTAAGACGGTTGAAATAATATCATTCGGTTTTATTTATTTGTTTATTTAAACACATAGATATTGGTACAAGGAGGCACCAAATACATATGCGCCACACAAATTTCATTTGATATGTGTGAGGGCTGTGATACTGCCCGGGTGCCCAAACCGAAGCAGGTGGTTCTCTTAGGGGGCCACACCCGGAGCCTTCGACCTGAATGTGTGATCCACAAGGCAGTGGAGCATCGTAAGGAGATGCAGTCCCATGGTGGTCGGTAACCAACAACAGGTTTATGTGCCATTTGTTTCCTCAGGATCCTGGAGCCCGTGTGCACCATTGGTTTGGAGTCGAGATCTTGCAACTCCCCTAGGTGAACTCTCCGTGTGTAGCAACCAGGTTAAAGCGTCGAACATTCGGTTTTCGTCCTCTGAATTTTGTAAACAACACCGGTGGCGTGAGAAGGCAATGAGTAGGATTTCCCTGTTGGTGGTTGTATGCACGTGGCTATGTGAGATCATTTGGAGAGGGAGAGCGGACTCTTCCCACTCTCGACCGTACCAGGGCATTCGAACTCAAATCGTATAAGTTTTACCTAAAATTAATTCCTTCCACTCTATTTATAATTTCGTTTATGAAAATATTCGATCAACTCAGGTCATAAATGAAACTGTTGAAATTAATTTGAAAAAAAGATACTCACATTTTTACTGATACTCATAGAAAAGGTGGAGTTGTAACGGTTCACATAATCCAAACTGTTCACCTATTTCTTCATTAAGTTCGTTCAGTATATTTTGCTTTTTCTTGGTGAAATAAAAATGTCATATTCAGCTATTGTCACTTTATGGACATATGTACACACATTGTTTTGCACATCATTACATAATCTATTAACCTTCTATGGTTGTATTTTTCAAATGAGATCATGCCAACTAATGAATTTAATATAAAATACACTAATGTAAACACAATTTCAGACAATTATATCATCAAATAGAAATTTTTCTTCATTGAATTTCGTTTACCTTAGAAGATAGTGACCAGACACACATGTATATATATATCTGTATATGTATATGAAAAGTAGGTGTATACACATCGCTTGAAGTAGTCTGGTATTAACTTTTGTCAAAGAAACAGATTTATACATTTCTGTTCATGATGAAATAACTTTGGACATAATTTCTAAATCTAAATTTTTTTGGTATTTAAATACAGATTGGTTGACAGTTTGCTACTACTACCGCGATTAGTGGCCTTGAAATCTAATCGATAAGTAATCTAGTCGTTGTTCTTATACAACAGTATATCCGGTTCCCAAAAAGTTCATAAGTATATCTTAAAATGTGCAGCAACCTGACTTAATAGTTAAAGCACTTGTCTTCCAGTCAATCAATTTGAGACCTTACTCCACCCACTTTGGTTTACGGAGTCGGGTAATATGACCGACTGTCATACATAAAAGTGCGACTGAACACCGAGTACTTAAATTTGTAATTGATTGAATAAGTAACATTTTATACTTATAAATAAAGTAGAGTTTAAGAAGCAAAGTATCTTTATCACACACGTGCTGATCATGTAGTAAATGCAAACTCAGGTAGAGAAGACCAACTTATTGTTCGGCACAATATTACAGAATGTTTTCATAAAATATGAAAACCATACAGTAAATACTTCATTTGCACATCTCCCATCAGTTTCATTCATAACTTTATTTTGACTGAACATTTGTCGTGAAGATTTTAGTAATACGAAGCGTGCTAAATGCATAGTCATAGGTGAGAGCATTTCACAGTGCAACATAATAATAGCCATTAATACTGTTGGGGTAGAGTGTTCTTTAATAAACTGTGTAAGAAGAACAAAAGTACACTGTGAAAGTGGCATAATTGCAACACTATGTGCGTTTCCAGATAGACAGTACGGCGAAGAGCGATTGCAGTCCAGAAACATACAGTACTTGTGATAATCTACAACCTTTTTCGGATCTGAACATATCAATTTCCTCATTGAATACTTTTTTTGATAAGTCAGTGATTGGTGAATACCTACTCATTTAAAGTATAGTAATAATTGTTTCGTCGTATTAAATGCAATATTTTTGTTAATTAACGGTTCAACCTGCTTCTATTCATTTCGATGTATACGTAGTATAACTTTCTTAATTATCTACAGGAAGGTGAATTACACTGTACAAAAGATAAATTAATCTATCAAACTACTTTAAGTAACAGAAATCAAGAAAATTGGATTATGATAGAACAAGAATATCGTGAATTACAGCGTCAGCATAGAATATTACAAAACAATTTATTGTTAAGTGAAGAAGAACGTTCTCGTGGCGGCGAAATGATGATTGCAGAAAATAATGCTGAATTTGAAGCAGCACGTGCAAATTATGAGAAAGAAATTGGCTTATTGAATGTAAGTTAAGTAAATAAGCTTTCGTGCATGTGTCTGTTTATGTTTAACACATCTTGTTTATTTATTTGAACAAATGAATATTGGTACAAAAGTTCACCGAATACATATACGCCACATAAGTCACTTGATGTGTGTGTGGGTTGGGATACTTCCCAAATTGAAACAGTTGGTGTTCCTTGGGGGCCACTCTCCGAGAATTCGACCCATATGATGTAGTCCCATGGTAGTCGGTGGCCAGCAACATGTTTATGCGCTATTTGTCCCCTCAGAATCCTGGAGCCCGTGTGTACCATTAGTTTGGAATCAGGGTTTTCCAACACCCCTAAGTGGATCCTCCGTGCCTACAAACCTGGTTAAAACACCTTACATTCGATTTTCATCCTCTCAATTTTGTAAACAACACCGGTGCCGCGAAAAGGCAGTGAGTAGGACTTCTTTGGCAGTCATTATTTACGCCTGGCCATATGAAAACATTTCGAAAGGGAGAGTGTTGTGGACGTTAGATCCCCAGAACCCACTTGAGAAAGGACGTAGTTTTGTAATTTTATTTAGAAAATTTGAATTTATTTGTTTTCGCGCCAAAGGCGCTATTGTCACCTTCATGTCGTATTTCCCACTGGGAACTATCTTAAATGCCATTTGTCCGTTGCGTCTTTTAGTATGCTATTTGGTAACTCTCCCCATGGACGGTTTTGCACTGTATATATAGGTTTTGAATTGTGTTTATTGTTATCGCTCGTTTCTGGCTGTTTGCAGAATATACTTCCCATTCCAAGCTTGTATTTCTCCCTCTACTTAGCGGGGTTGGGACGCATCAATAGCTAGCTTAGTAGTCTTTGGTCACTGAGTCTTTGTTCTCGTTCGCAGATTAAGTGAACTCGTGGTAGTTTCAACCCTAGCAGAGAGCAGACTCTCCCCACCCTTGGTTGTAATTAGAACATTTCGGGGCGAAATTCTGGTGCTTTGCCGACTTAGCTAGCCGGGTTCGACTGTGTTAGTTACTTCTCTGCTAACTAATAACTTGTGTCTTTAGTCTTTACTTAGCATATTTTACTTGATATGTATCTAGATCGTGTTCAACAATGGAATCTAAGGTCTTAGTTTAAAACTCGTTAGCTGGATATCTCTGCACATAGTAATACCCATTACAATCTACTCACAATTCATGTTTACCAATAGAGATTGATCAATTTAGTCTTGACATTTATACAATTAATTTGTACGTCGATTTGTTGAATGTTACTAATTCACAAATCAAATTACTACCAAGTTTCACTATTGATTAACTAGTAAACAAATCACTTTTCAAGTAACTGAACCTCAGTGTTTCAATGATCATGATGAATTTTTTAAACTGATCTAATCACTGAATCTGATGGTTTAATTTCAATTAATTTGTAATTGTTGAACCAGTCAAATTATTATTAAACTTGACACTAAATGATAAAGTATCAGGATGTGATATATATGTATAATACTATGAAACCAATCATCATATGATGTAGTAATATAATAATTTTATGCATAAAAATGCTTTAGTTAATTGTTATTTGTTTGATAAAATTAACCATTCTCATGATACATAGGTGTTTTGTTCAATTATCAAATTGTGTATTAGTTACTTTAATTTATTTTAGATCTAACTAACCCATTTATTGATTATTTGGAGTAACTTGTTTCAGGGCATTGCTGTTACACTATACGAACTTGTTCATTACTTTTAAAAAAAAACAAACGAACCCCGATCATTTTAACGTTTATTAAATAATAATAATATTACTGTTACATATATTTTAGAAAACACGACACACCTAATGGATGTGATAACTGTGATATGTATTTATAGTATATAGTTAGTTATATAGTTATATAATATACCTTTGTGGGCCAGGGTAATTTTACATTGGTTTTCAAGAGAACCAGACACCATCCCGACTTTCACGTGACAACCCAAACAGTACAGCTCAATCCCGCTTCGCAGGAGAACTAAACACCATATAGGCGAAGTTGTACTGCTGACTGTAGAGGGGTGTGACAGCAGTAATGTGTTTCCCTCGGACAACCAGCATCTGCAGCGATGCTGCCTTCTCACAAGGAAGAAAGGGGTTAGGAAACGTTGACCCTAAAAATGTTACATCTCACCTTACCTCAGGGATTTCCATCTCCGGCTGTAAGGCCCTTTGAAGAACGGAGCTAACACATTAAAAACCTCCCACGAAAAGACCGTGCGCGACTGGCTTCCAGCAGTTGTCCCTTGGGCTCTGCAGTCACGCTCCCAGGTCGTTAAGACCAACAATAATCCGACTTCCTTCCCAGGTTCCTCAAGAAATACCCTTGCACGGTGTGGGCAGCCGGGAGGTGATATCATCCCTCATACCCGTAACAACACACGAGGCCAAGTCGGTCACATCCAAATTCCTCCTACACCTCCAAATAAATCTTTTATCTCCATGACTAACCCTTCTCAAGTCTCTTTATCACTTCGCACCGCTAGGGCAAACGATTCGAGTACGCGGAACGTTATTCCTGGTCTCCTGAAACTACGCTTTAAGATACACATAAGAGCTTTCAACGTCCGAACACTGTGCCAAATAGGACAGCAGGCTTCCTTAGCTAGGACTTTAGAGTCTCGCGCCATCGATGTGTGCTGCGTCTCCGAAACGCCAATACAGGATCCGAGTAGCGTCATTCATTTGACCTCACTATGTCAAAGTGACGAACCGACTCGATTCACACTTCGTGTATCTGGAAGCCCAGATTCTGCTTCCCGTGGCCTCTCCGGCGTAGGTACAGCATTGAGTCCTAGGGCAGAACTAGCTGTCTTAGAGTGGATCCCAGTAGACAGTCGTTTGTGCGCTGTCCGACTAAACGGAACAGTAAGGATTCGAAAAGATAGGGACACTCGTCGTTGCCTTTTCGTCATTTCTGCCTACTCTCCCACTGACTGCAGCTCAGACGATGTAAAAGATGAGTTTTACAGAAAGCTCTCCGACCTTCTCCGAAAAGCTAGGCGCTCTTATGTAGTAATCGTGGCCGGTGACTTTAATGCTCAAGTAGGTGAACTAAGTGAAAGGGAAAGACACCTAGGTGGATCTTATAGCGTCGTGGCTCGAAGAACAGATAATGGCGACCGTCTGTTGCAGCTATGCTCAGATAACCTCCTGTTCCTTGCAAATACTAACTTTAAGCATAAGGAAAAACATCTTTTAACATGGCGACCCCCTAATTCGTCCCAACGTTGAACCCAAATAAATCACATCGCTATCAGCCACCGATGGAGGGGCTCGACAGAAGACTGTCGCTCATTTTGGAGCACATGCTTAGATTCAGATCATGCTCTAGTGCGAGCGCGTATTTGCTTGCGTCTTACTGGACGTAGGAAAATGCTGCAAGGAACCCTCATAGGGCCCTACTTAATGATAGTCAAGCTAAGAATATATTTCAGGAACAACTAGGAAAACAGTTAGGCAGCCATGTATGTGATGCCCACCCCGAGGCAGCATGTAATCATGTCCGATCAGTCAGATCGGATTACGTCCAGTTCCCAAATTCTACCTCAGTTAATCTCACTGCTAATACTGGACCACCATCCTTAAAAATCTCAGGAGTAAACCTGTCAGGGCCTGCTACTTTCCCTCGCTTCAGATTTCCTATAGCTCTTTCAACTTCGTAGAGTCGGAGGACCTACATTAACTTGCCATTCAGGTTGACTAGAGATCGTGGGAAACCGAAGTGTGGCTGAAGACCAGTTGAACTGATCCCTAAAGTGTTCTGCCCATCGATCCAATCTCCTGGATTGAGAATGAATAATATGTCCATCTTTCTCTGAGATTGTTTCGCTAACGGTCGGGTCCCTAATTCCGGTTTCCTTAACGAGTCTGAACAATTGTCTGCTATTACCTATTGCCGCTGCCTTTTCCATCTCTCTTGCTTTCGCTACCCACCAGTGTTCGCGATCATTGCGTAGGCTTGTCAGCTTGCGCATAAGCTGACTACGCTCCACCGACTGCCTCGACGTGCGATGTTTTATGGTGTAGGAGTAGGTTGGAAGAAAGGAAGGGGAGACCAGACCAAAACATGGCACAAATCCATGAAGTCACTGACGAGTGGAATAAGCTATGTTGTAAACTACCTGTTTGGGATCCGCGAGACGATAGTAACCGATGGTTAGAGACGTTGAATGACGTGGCTCAAAATCGTTCGCGATGGCGCAGGTGCATCCACTTTTTGTGTTCTCCCAAATTCTAATCTGAATTCTTCATGTCCATTATTTTCTTTCGAAATTTATTTCACTGTATTATACTCCTTGAATAACATCTTCAAGCCCTAATGTGTTCCGATTACTGCTTATACTCTTACTACCTCTACCACTACGGAATTTGAGTTGACAACTGCATTTCTGTGCTAATGTGTTGTGACAACGCGTACTGACTTACGTACGTACGAAGTTCCACGTTGTTACTGACTGAGTGATAGGCTTTAACGCTAGAATTTGAATAGTACAGCTCAATCCTGTGGCTCAACCATATAGTTATCAAGCGCCCTGGTAGACCATTCGCACAATTCATATGCACATTCACGTCACATATATAGATATTCCAATGAATGATCGCGTGAATCAATTATCCACAGCATGAACAGACCAGTATATAGCATATGCATTGTTTGTATTTGTTGTCGTTATGGTGACCTGTTGTGTGATAGTATAAAATGGTTATATTGATAAATAACATTGTTCAATGTCAGTTGGGCCACGTGTTACGTATGCCCGAACACCGATTACCATGGCGTGCAATGCTAACCGGAGTTCGGGATGGTTGGAAGTGAGTTAGGGGCGTCCAAACCAAAACGTGGCATCAGTGCTTGAAGTCACTAACTTCTAATCTGAGCCATGTTGGTAGATGCAGACTACTTGGTTGGGGTCCGCGTGACTATCGACTCTTGGTGATATGGCTCAGAATTGATCACAATGGCGTCGGTGTATTCACTCTTTTTTCCCATAAACTAAGAGATTAAAATCGCTTCATATCTTTCCTTCTACAAACTAATTCTCTCTTCCTGTACTATATCCTTATTGCAATCTTTCTTTTATATATTACTACTATTGAATTAACTACTTTTATGAATCCGGTGTCCATCTTGTTGTGTTAATGAGGTATGGCAACTTGGACCGATGCATAAATGTGCCTGGTCCTACGTTGTAGCTGACTGACTCAATGTCAGTCACAAATATGTACAGATGTATATGTTCTTTACTACTTCTTTGTTCGTCTGGACTGTCACCACGAGTTGTCTCTTTTTCTGTTTGCTTTTAATTTTGGTAAGATTCTCCTCTGTATCCTTCAGTTAGAAAATGTCGGATTCAACATGTATATTTGTCTCAGTTGTTGTGTTTCTACTAAATTTCGAGGAAGAAAATGTTAAACGTATGCCAACACACATTTATATGATGGGCTTTTAACTACAGACTTTTTATGATTGTTAGTGATAGTGTCAAATATGTAACTTAATAATTACAAACTGACTCATTCGTCCAGATACAAATTTGAGTATCATTTTACTTCTGAATTTTGGTTATTTGAGTTAAACATCTGTTCTATGTTAAACAGATACTAATTGATAATTCGACGCACATGTATACATGTTTATCTACTTTTTCTTGTTGATATGACTGAGTTTATTTATTATTTGAACACAAAAATATTGGTCGAGACATGTATGCGCTACACAAAGTAGTTATAATAAATTAGTATGTGGTTTGGGACACTGTCCGTCTGCCAAAATTAAAACAGCTGGTTTTCCTAAGCGGCTTACTCTCTGTGAATTCGACCCATAGGTCTTATCAACAAGGGAATGGACATAAAGTTAGGAGATGCGATCCCATGGTAGTCGGTAACCAACAACAAGTTTATGTGCCATTTGTCCCCTCAGGATCCTGGAGCCCGTGTGCTTTATTGGTTTGGAATCAGGGTTTTCCAATACCCCTAAGTGGATCCTCCGTACCTACAAACCTGGTTAAAACACCTTACATTCGCTTTTCATCCTCTTAATTTCGTAAGCAACATCCCGATTCTTCGATAAGGTTCTCCCAAGCACTCAGCAGAATGAATAAATATGTAAAGTAGGAAGTTTATATCTCACTAATCAATAACTCTATATGTTGACTTCTACTTCAACCACTTTCTATCATTTTACCATTACAACGTAATTTTTTTCTTGAAATTCTTCCTTTTCTTTTCTCAAGCAACAATTATTAGAGACAACATTTGAATGTCGTCGTCTAGAAGCAGAACGTGCTCGTGTAGCTGAACGTAATTCTGATTTACAACGTGAACTAGAAACGACTAGAATTTTGGTAGATTCATTAAAACAAAATTCGGAATGCAAACCAGTTGAATATTCGAATCATATTAGAAAAAGTGCACCGATTATCTCATCAAATCTACGTTTACCCTCTTCAATGCCCAATGGTGATAATAATAATAATAATGGTATTTGTAATAGTAATGGCTTGTATTCAAAGGGATATAAAGTCAATCAAAGATGTCTTAGCGATTCACTTGAAGATTGGGAGGATAGTGATCATGATCACGTTGATCTTAATGTTTCACCATCACATCAAATTCGATCATCAGTATATCCACATGAAGTTAAGAGTAAATTAAATCATCACTATAATCGTGATTATTCGTGCATTGTAAATAATCGCTTAAACGATGAGTCCCGTAAGCCAGAATATAATTATCCTAATAATGAAGAGTCAAGATATTTAAAGAGTAAAAAACGTCATTCAAAATTAAGTACAGATTCAAAACAGTTAGATCGACTTGCTTCTAAAACACAAGAATTGGAAGAGTTTGCTATTCGATTGCGTGAACAATTTAATGAGGTAAAACTTAGTATTTTATTTCTAGTTACCCTAATTTTTTCATATTCTAATGTTCTATGACAATAACTGTGATTAGCGATTAGAAACTTTATGGAACACGTCTCGTCGGTCACCATGGTTCAAATGCATTGACACTTGACTTTCTTCTAGATATTATGCTTCAATATTACTTAATACTTTTTATTCCATCAATTCCATTCTTCCCGAATCTCTGCCTAAACCTAATCTTTTCTAAAATCACTGATACTACTATTTCTACTACTCTGATATTTGTCTTGATAACGTTCAGCTCGTTGTGCTGATATGGTGCGGCAGCTTAAACTGACCCATATATGTGCCACGTTCTAAAACTCCTGGCTGACTAAACGAATCTCTCATCTTGTTACCTCTTTTCAGTTAGTTTCATTGATGAGTAATATACTTGACATGTATGAAAGAGTACTGATTAAAAGAAATCACTGTTTCGTAATTTCTTCAACTTGATCTATTCTCTTTTCACAAGTTTTTGTTTGCTGTACACATGCAATCAGTTTCTCAGTGTTTGTTTCGTTTATATGGTAGGAATTTCTTTCCCTTTGTTTTATGAACATGTTTAACACACTATATTTATGTTAAATTAAATAGTATTTCTTAATTTGATATTGTACAGATCTTATCAGAGGAAGAGGAGAATTCTGAAGTACGTGTAAGAAATGTGATTCCCCAACTCTTCTGTATACGTATATTATATACATGCATGTGATCAACGTATAATTAGCGTAGGCTTTTCAGCTCTTAGTTTATATCATACTTCCTATTTTAACGAAAATATGAAGATAGCTTTCCACTCTAGAATTGCATGCTAATGTTGACATCTTTTTCATATTTAAGATGCATGACTTTTATATATTAGACATCATTGTTCTTAAAGCTTACTAGGTAAGGCGAACAAAGTATACGGTAAGTCATGTAATCCATGGATCTATTATTTTAAGTTCTATGTCTCTCATTATCAGAAAGGTGGTTTGTTTAAGTCATGTCTTAATTCATATACATCAAAGCCCCGTCTCTCATATTGTTAACTGCCATCATTCATTATTTTGTATTTAGTTAGTGCTTGATCATGTTTTTATAATGCTCACTTTCTTTCAAGTTGTGTATTTAACTCATCGCTTATTGGTTTGTGTAATTGTTTGCGAGTCACACTAAATGTTAATTACGAGTAGATACTTGGTTGTCCAAACCGACTTAAGTGTTGCAGGATGTAAACCTGCAACTTAGTGACTACAAGTCGACTACTTTAACAACTGGGCTATCGGTTTACTTTTATTTACTTCTAATTTAAATTCGATAAGTTTCAAAGTTTCTCACAGTTCTTCTGTATAATATCACATCAAATAAAAATGAAGTTCAGTAAATTTATTCACTAAAATCTCGTTTTTCCTACATTTCTTTTATCGGTCATCTTTCACCAGCATCAATCCTCCACACAAGTTAATTCTTCATCTGTAAACATGTATCCCTATCTCACGGATGTTCATAACAATCAAAATGCTTTGAAAAATACTCCTTTAGTGATACCAAAGAATCAATGTCAGTTAAATGGTTTTAATTACGAGCTTGTTGACGAAGATGGTGATGATGATGTTGAACAAAGAGAGCAAGATACCGATGCTGATTCTTCAGCGTACACAGATTTAAGTCAAGTTTCTCCGGTATCTCAACCTGTTGATTCAGGTTAGTTTTGATATTCAGATTGTTTTGTAGCCAGTTTTTTTGTGATATGTTTTATTTATTACACTCTGTACGACTATGACAACCTGGACCGATGCATATATGTGCCTGGTCCTACGTTGTAGCTGACTGATTGACTGATTCAAAACAATTAATTCTAGTATACTTTCGTGATAAGTTTGGCTTGTGTTTGCTGAGATTTTTGTTATAGATTTCTTGTTTAATAAAATATATGATAGACTCGTTGATTTCACACTGTATGGACACTCGGAAATGTATCACTGCAAAGTTCAGTAACGTCTTTATTTCTCTAAAAGGTCCTAAAACATAATCTGTTGAGTACAGTTTTTCGTACTTCGATTTTAATCATGCTTTTCACTAGTGGTATAAATAATAATAATAATACTATGCGACCGTTGTATTTGAAATATGTAACTAAAGCAGGTTTCTAATCTGTCATCTCATGAATTTTAGACATTATACTTGAATCACTAAATCACCTCCTTTCTTGGGCTTATGTCTATTTTTGCGTCATATATATTATGTAATGATGGTCCAATAATTTCATTAGTTACTGAACAATCATCGAACACTATTTTTTTACGATCCTGGTTACTGTATGATTCTTTTTGTTCAACACTTCATTTCTTTTTGGTATAAATGTTCCGAATGGAACTGTGTTTGGGAGAAGTTTTAAAGTTTCCATAATGTTGAGCAATACGTTTTGGTTTGTCATAGTGATAAACAAAATATTGGTGATGTTTATTTTATTTTATTTCAACACATAGATAATGGTACAAAGAGGCACCAAATACATATGCGCCACATAAATCATTCGATTTGTGTGAGGGCTGTGATACTGCCCGGGTGCCCAAACCGAAGTAGGTGGTTTTCTTAGGGGGCCACACCTGGAGCCTTCGACCTGAACGTCTGATCCACAAGGCAGTGGAGCATCGTAAGGAGATGCAGTCCGATGGTATCCGGTGACCAACAATTGGTTCATGCGCCATTTGTTCATTTGGGATACTGGAGCCCATGTGCACCATTGGTTTGGGATCAGGGTTTTCCAACTCCCCTAGGTGGACTCTCCATCTCCACCAACCCGGTTAAAGCGCCGGATATTCGGTTTTCGTCCTCTCATTTTCGTAAACAACACCACCGCCACAAGAAGGCAGTGAGCAGGACTTCCCTGGCAGAGGCTATATATTATTTATCTACAAAGATCATTTTAAACAATTTAATTTTAAATAACTTAATAGTGAAAGACTGGAATCGCAAACATTCAGTTTGAACATCATTTACCATCTAATTTCATTTGGGTTAGCTCTTAGTGCAATCTAATTAATTGTAGGGCACTGAATACAGATTGTTGTACTTGGATTCAAACCATACTGAACGCGAAGGTTAATGTTAAATAATAATTAGCTGCTCAGCCTAAAGTAAGAGGAAGGAAGTTCGTATTTGAAACTAGTAACCGAACCACTTTGGTTAGACTATCTGATCATAATCGTTTGTTTCAAGTATTATAGTAATGTCATCCATTTTGATATGAAAAGTGTTCATGAGAATCGAAAAACAATAAATTAGTACTTGGTTACTGCATTACACTAAAATAAATAATTCAATATTAAAACCGTAGAGATTAGCTAAACAGCCTTTACAATACAAAACATAATGAAATAGAAAAAAAGATATGATGACTTCAATGAGATGACATACCAACTGAGAAGAACAAAACTATAAAACATATACAAATATAAACTAATAAATACAGAATGATAATTACATGAGGCATACTTAGTTTCTTTCGAATGTAGATTGTTACAAACAATGAGTGCATCATTTCCAATAATTATTTCACGAGTATATATATGTCTATATAAACTGTTATCTTGTTTAGTAGTCAATGTAAACAAACTACTTTTTACATTGAACAAATGAATAATGAGAAATGGAATTTTGTTAAATACTATACATATTCATAAAATAAACAGTGTGAAGAATGCATGCATTCAGATAGAATCACCTTAAGCATAATGTCAACACCAACAGTGTAAATTGTTGTCATTACTGTTGTTGTTATAGTTACATATACACAAAAATATACATACACCAAGTTGATTATAGATATTCAATACGTCAACTCTTGAAATAATCGTAATAATGACTATTAATCGTCAGAAATTCGGCAGTGTAAACAATGATAACATATACATAAATGTGTTGTATGATGTGAAAAGCCTAGATGTATGACTTGATGACCTGAATACTCAATACTATTGATTAGATGAACAAGGTTGAAAATTTTGATTTACACTATTTATCATTGACAAAAACTGAATCTGATTAAAAGTTAACAACCACAAAGTCGAAAGAAAAACAGAACCAGAAACTTATTGTCTGACAATGCATTAATATGACAGCCGACAACTAAACTCAATAATTAAGTTTGAATTCCACTTATTCACCATACAATCCAGTTATATTTTATACACCCATTAATCATGTCTACTTTCATGCTAAATATTATTCATAAAAAGATTACACTTCATTAGGAAATCAACCTACCCTTATGATTAGTTGTGCTATCTTTTCACTACACCTCGTTTGGATGTTTACTTCTAGAGTAGTAGAGTGTAGTGACCAGCTCTACCATCATATTGTTGTTGCCCCCAAATGCCCTGATACGGCCGAGAGTGGGGAGAGTCCGTTCTCCCTCTCCAAATACTCTCACATGGCCACGCGTATATAGCCTCTACCAGGGAAGTCCTACTCACTACCTTCTCGTGGCGGGGGTATTGTTTACAAAAATGAGAGGACGAAAAGCGAATTTTCGGCGCTTTAACCGGATCCCAAACCAATGGTGCACACGGGCTCCAGGATCCTGCGGGAACAAATGGCGTATGAACCAATTGTTGGTCACCGGCTACCATGAAACTGCATCTCCTTACGATGCTCCACTGCCTTGTGGATCAGACGTTCAGGTCGAAGGCTCCAGGTGTGTCCCCCTAAGAAAACCACCTACTTCGGTTTGGGCACCCGGGCAGTATCACAGCCCTCACACATATCAAATGAGATTTGTGTGGTGCATATGTATTTGGTGCCTCTTTGTACCAATATCTATGTGTTAAAATAAATAAATAAATAAATAGCGAAGAATATAAATCTCGAATCAAAGCTCCAAGTTATGTTTTTTTATTCTGTGCTCATTTTTCTACATTATATTTATTGTCGTTAGGATATTAAATTTGAACGTTAATGGATTGGTATCTTAATATCTAAAGCACTCGGTTTTTAATCTACAAGTTTCAAGTTTGAAACCTACTTTGGTTCGAACATGTAGATAGTTTGCGTCATTAACTCCCATACCAATAGTATGATTTAAATTTGAATGTATTAGCATGTACTTGATGGATCAGTTAAGTCAGTGGTTTTGAGTGCTTTTAAGAGGTATGAGGGCGGTTATCACTTCCCGGTTGGCTACACCATGGAAGGGTTCTTCTGGAGGCACCTGGAAAGAAAATTGGTTTAAAGGTGGTCATAGTGACCTGAGGGTGTGACAGCAATGCCCAAGAGACAACTGCTCGAGGTCGGTCACACACGACGTTTTGTGGGTAATTTTCGTGTTAGTTCCGTACTTGTTGAGACCCTACCTCCAGACACTGATGTTAGTGCACATATTCGAATAGGCTTGTCTTGGATCATGAATGTATTTTTTTGTACTGAATTAACATTCATTGTTTGGTGATTTCTAATATTTTAACCTGTATGTTACTACTGATTGCAATATGGTATTTCTTTGCTTTAATAAGTTTGTTTTTTTCTACAGGATGCCAGAATACTAAGCTAACAACAAAGAATTTGCAAACTACCACATCACATAATGGTCAATCGATGCTTCAACATCACTCGCAATCTGTCGGGTTTATGCCATCAGTCTCGAAGAATATAAGGAGTAGTTCCCCCTTATCTTCTGGTATTTAATATTATTATATCTTGTTTATATTTTGCTTTAAAATTTCTGTACATTTTGTTCATTTCTTTTCATTGATCTTTAGTTTCTTTTTACAGTGATTACATACTATCAATTGTATCATTCTGTTATTCAGTTCTATTTGAGTTCACTTATTTGTTACTCTGACTTTTAAGATAAATAATCTTACTATGATACTAGGTTGATAGAATTTACTGGGTTAGGGAATCAGCTTTGTAATATTGTTGTTTTGATAACCTTAACCTCCCGGTGAGAAGTTGATATTTTTTTCTGAGAATATCTCGTTGAATTTCTGGGTTCAATGCTTGATGATGAGTGTACTAATATCTTCAGGGCGATAGTTTTTTACGATTTCAGATGTATCCAGCCGTTAATAATCCGATCCAAGGCGTAAATAGGTACGTCAACTGAGAAAAGCTAAGGGTATCCAAAAAAAGCCACAAATAAGTAAATAAAACATTCGGTAAGAAATATCAACTATATGTAAGTGACATTCATGTCACATTCTTGTCTAGTCGAGCGTATTTTGCGGATCTAAGTGTATGCTGTTCTAGTATAGGAGATAGTAATAATCACCCTTATTGGGTTTCCAGCCACAATTTTCATTGTGAGAGCTGTTAATATAATCTAGATACTCAAAATTAAGTAAAGATCCGTTTTAGCATGTAACTCAGATGGTTGAGAACCACTGTCTTCATTATTAATTTACTACATGCTATATTTATATAGTCGTACATTTTTCCTGTTAGTGTTCAAAACGATCATTAAAGCTTCGCAATTATAAGCCAACTTAGCTGTTAGAAAATATAGAACACCAATTTAATGCTTTATATAGTATCCTAATCTTAATGATAGTGTCGATTTATAGCTCTATCAAAAATCTTTGTTTATACACTGTATTCCTTATGAAATAGTCGAATTGAATTAGTCGTATATAATAATAATACTACTACTAATAATAAAGTCCTCTTAATTAAGTAATATGATCGATTCACATACAACACACATAGAACAAACAATTCAATCTACTATAATGCACAAATTTATTATTATCATCATTATTACATTTTTAAGAAAACATGTCATCTGTTTTAACTGTCATTTCTTTATCCATGTATCATTGGATGATGATTATCAAGACGTTTTCATAGAAAAAAAAATGATCCTCTTTGTTGCTATAGGTGTATATATCTATATCTATCTATTGATGAATTGAATGAAATGAAATACAATTTTGTATTATAGCTTGATAGATATCATTTTTATTTCATAATCATTTAATCTTATATTGTTTTTACAGAAATGGGGGGGTACAGAACTGTATTTCCAATAAATTATTAGTTGATTAAGCTAAGCAACTCAATATTAACACATTACTACTTGTATTTGCACGGTAGTTATCGTGAATATCCAATCACTTAACAATATTAAAATTTGTGATATAGAAGGTTCGTTAAAATGACTTACGTTATGGTTCACATATACTGAGATTTTAAATCAATAATCGTTAAGAGTGAAGAATGTGTAGATGGTGGTAGCTTCTGTGTATCTGATGGGTTCATCATTTTACATAACTGCTAGACATTAAGTATCATAAACTGATTCTAATAACCATAATTTATTCATTTGTTTGAAATAAATGATGTGGTATGATTCCCTCAAATTCTGCTTAGGATAGAACTATTGTTAAGTACAATAACAATGCTGGTAAGATGTTGATATAATCTAATACAGGGATTATATTTAATATTCGTTAATTTGACTAAATGAATTACGTGAAATACATTTTAATGAGGATTATGATAGTCCTGTGAAATTTAACTATTATTTCTTTTAGATTTAGTTTGTAATATTCTCAATTCTATTATTATTTTAGCATTTCGATTCAATGGTTCCGGTTCTAGACTTTCTGACCCAATACCATCTTCTTGGAGTTTCGGTAACATGATTATATCTTTAGTCTCTTTACGCAACATGTATATCCTATGGCTTAATTAATGCATGATTGAATTTAATCTACATGTTTCATCGACGCATATTTACTAAACCTTATTTAGCAATGTTGTCTGTCTCTTTAACAGGAATTTGGAACTTTTTATAAAACCCTCACATTAACTGATATCCATATTCTCCTTCATTTTTACCAGCAATCCATTTTTCTTTCATTCAAACTGTTTATCTCTTTATTGTCTTTGTTGTTTTGGTTTTTATTACCATATTCATTTAATGCTTTAGTTATAAAGCATGATCAAGTATGTTTTATTCTAATTTACATGTTATTATTAATTGTGTGTATTTTGTTTTACTTTAATTAGATCCTAATCGATTAAAAGAATTACATCTACGTAATCGATTACAACCTTCACATTTACGATCAAGTTATCCAGTTGAAACTCAGGTTAGTTGGGCATTTTTTCTCTCTCGTTAGTTCCTCACTGTTGAAATTTTACAATGTTTATATTGATAAAACAAAAAAAAGTGTGGATGATGAAGTTGGATTTTGTTGTAAATCATTGCAATACATTACTTACACTTATTACTCCTTGTGAAGGAGCATGGGCCGCTCACTAGCATTCTCCATCCAACCCTGTCATGGGCAATCCTTTCCAGCTCTTTCCATTTGTTATTCATCCTTTTCATATCTGCTTCCATTTCCCGACGTAATGTGTTCTTTCGCCTTCCTCTTTTCCGCTTCCCTTCAGGATTCCAAGTTGATGCTTGCCTCGTGATGCAGTTTGATGATTTGCGTAATGTATGTCCTATCCATTTCCATCGTCTTTTCCTAATTTCTTCTTCATCTGGAAGTTGGTTTGTTCTCTCCCAGACAAGGCTGTTGGTGATAGTATCCGGCCAATGGATGTTGAGTATCTTGTGTAGACAACCATTTACACATACTTGTACCTTGTTCATGGTAGTTGAACGTACAAGTGTTGCAATACATTGGTTACAATAATATCAATTTTATTAAAATACGAAGCATTGGGAATCTCTCCGATGTTATGCAATACAGCTTTTAGATACTCTACCTTAAGTTTCACACATTTCCTATGACAGAATAACCTAAACTAAAGTTAGGGATTATTACCTATTAAGTTAAAGCTGAATTCTTCAACAAATGATGTACTTTTTTAATTCTGATGTTTCAGCCTAAAGTTTTCGCAACTCAAACCATTTAAACATCATTATTGTTTAACATTTTGAATGCTATCGATACTACTATTGTTCCCGCTCCCTTTCTATGTATCTTATAAGTTTCACTTGACAGTGCTTATTTAATAAAGCGTGATTTAATCTAGAGTGAAGTCGACTTCTCTTAGCTCGAAGTGATTCGCTTCAGCCTCAATGCGAATGAACCATCCAAGTTTTTCCTTTTGCTGACTATCACAGTTAGTTTCATTTCACTTTTATCTGTCAGTAATACATCCTGTTCCCATGCCATTTTTAATTGTAAACACTTCTAATTACTGGGCAATTCATACAAACTACGTTTTCCAATTTTATAATGTATTGAATTGATATGTTTTATATCTAATCAACCTGCCAATAAATGTACCTATATATACATACATAAAACGGATTGCTCGTACTGACATGATACTGTCTAACAGACAAGGTCTCACACCCTATCAATCAAGCTGCAATAAACCCACTAGCATGAATAACTCGTAACGCGTGCACTATGCTCTGATGTTAGGTGGTTAATGGTAGTCTCTGGGGTACTCCTGGACTTACATTTTGTGCCAGTTGGTCCTCATCATCAGGGCTTACCTGAAATCTTAATGGTTCTGATATTCGCTGTGTGATGTGAACTACGGTCACCCAGCCTCATAATCCGGAACGTTACCACTGAGCTAACCGAGATTTAACTTACTTATGGGACTTAGATCACTGTGTAGTAACCATATATTTAAAATGATTTAGAACTGTTGGCACTGTTCTCTAGTTGAATAACTTAGATATGTGGTGATCAGCTTAAAACACAACACTAACTAAGCCAAACCACATTATCGTGCTACTTACCTTCGTGATCTATAATACTCGATAAACACTAAAGATTTTACAACCAACTCTTTTGTGTATATTGTTTCATGCCCATAGTTATAGAATTCCGATTTCCCCCCTCATTACAGGTGATCAATTCTAATGATATAGTTGGCACTTTGAGCCAAATGACTACCGACAACGTGAACCAATCACCTAATCGAATCAGAGCGAGTGGTCGAAAAATGCATCGTAATAATTCTCACAATAAAGAACCTCCTGTAAGCAATGTTGGTAGCAATCCCACTTCTAGAACTGTTCCCTCTTCATTATCAAATGATTACCAAAAGAATTCGCATATCAAATCTAGGCACGATAATAATCTTGAACTAGAATCAACGCCTTCACCATTAGCCGCTGGTTATCAACCCCTCCCCAAAGATATACAATCGTTTAGTGAAGCACTTATCTCTGCATCTGTGGATAGTAAAGCTCTGGATTATGTGTTAACTACTCATCCTAATCTTATCAAGTCTGCCAATACTAATAACGATAACAATAATAATAATAATCATAACAGTAATGGCTGTAAATCATCACACTCCTTGTCTTCCAGTATCCAGAATGTAAATATCCCAACTTCGGATAGAAAACCTGTGAGTATCTACTTTCTCTATATGTCTTTGCATGAGTTTTTGGTACCTGAACATCCCCTACTTCCAGTGTCTTAAACAATTATATTACAAAGGTCACTAGATTGGGGGTTATAAAATCTTATCTTTGATTTGTTATTGGACTTTATTTATTTATTTGAACACATAAATACTGGTACAAGGGGGCACCATATATATATATGACTTAAAATATACTCATTTTGAGTCCTACAACTGAGATATATCTTACACATGTTCAGCCACCGCTTATCCATATATCCAGTGATGTCTACTATAAGAGTACGTTAAAAGAAGACTAAGGTGATGAAGCGGAAACGTAGCACCAGTTCATAAAGTCAGTGAATGTTCGTGTGATCTATTTAGGGTGATTCGAATTTCCTGAGTGGAGACCCTTAAATGATATTGTAGTAAATGAACATTCAGGTGAGGAAAACCGATTTATTGTTTGGTGCACAACCACACAGTGGTTTAGCGAAATGTGAAAATCATACATCATTTGCACATCTTTTTTTAATTGTCTCTTAAAAGCTTCCTTGTTCCTTCATTTCTTTTATTTTGATTGCTTTCAATTTCCGTCTCTCTTTTCATTTCAATCTTCTCAACTTTCTGTTCTCAGAAATTCCACTTACGACTGGTCGTCCTACACACTACTCATATCTGCAAACATGAGTAGCATACATCTCAATATAACTTGTAATCGGCTATCATCATCTTTGATCTATATTTATTACCAATTTTCATGACGACTTGGGATGGCTGTGATACGGTTAATAAAGTAACAGTCGTCGCTCATCAGTGAGTTTTCAGTCAGTCAGTCAGCTACAACGTAGGACCAGGCACATATATGCATCGGCCCAAGTTGCCACACTTCATTAGCACAACAAGATGAACACTAAATTCATAATGTAGTTACTTCAATAGAAGTAATATATAAAAGAAAGATTGCGTATATGGATATAATACAGGAAGAAAGAATTAGTTGATAGAAAGAAAGGTACAAAGCAGTTTTAATCTCACGCTTTAGGGGAAGACAGAGAGTGTACACACCTACGCCATTGTGATTGATTCTGAGCTATGTCACCCAGTGAGTTTTCAGAAAGGTATTTTGATAAGCTTGATCTATGGTGCTATGTTAACATAATTTTGACTGTTTGTTAGTCATACAAATTATAAAGCTTGAATATATATGATGCTCTCACCCATTGTAGTTGTGAAACTGTGGAAACGTTTTCATGTGAAACATTTGCAATTGTGCTTTGGTTTATTTGCTGTCCAGTTATGTATAATTGTAACATTTTTAGTCTTTCTAATTAAGGTTCAAAATCTAATCCTAACTCGTGGGTATCGACCTAGAGTGTTTATTTATTTACATATTTGAACATATAATTATTAGTACAATTGGGCACCATATATATATATGCGCCACACTGACCTATAGTGAAGCATCTCGAAAATCAATGATAATGAAATAATTACATTTTTCCCAAAATCTTGGATTTCAATATTATTTCATACTTTTCATTTGTTTGTTTTAAATACCTTTTCTTCTACATCATTTTTTTTTAAAATTTTGTCAATTCACTCTCACTATGGTGATGTTGACTCTTGATCTGAATATTACTAACTAGACGGCTTCACAATATGTGATTGGTGTTTCGAAGACATTTATCTGTTTAGTGTCTGATTCGTAAAACAATCTAATCTTAATTCTTTATTTTGTTTAAGATGGTTCTGTGATTGGGGTTGATTCCTGATGATGAAAGCAACCTGTGGATTAATCAACTTACAAAATTTATTATATTTTTAATAATTTAAACTTTTTATTTTGTATATTCTTATGTGTTTTGTCTTGCTTTTAAAAAAAAATCAAAATAAGGGATTCTGTAATACTCTCCCTGATACATTTGCGAAACATAACAAAAATCGTACAAGATATAACGTGAATGAACTAAAAATCGACAGTGGTACTGGCGGTGGTTTATCCTCTGATAATGAAAATATGAATCCTCCTTTATTAAATATTGCCTGCCGCAGATTCACTGATGCAGATCTGTTCGTTAAACCATTGGATCCTGTTCATGTTCATCGTCATAGAAGTAAAAAAGTCGATACATATTCTACTTCACGTACTAATGGTATTTCACCAACCAGTTCTGTACAAAGTGTTGATGATCTTAGTGGTGCGTCAAGTATTCGAAGTAGTAAGGTTAGTATTGTTACAATTTTATTTTAATTCATACTTTAAGATAATGTATTTATTTATGCTTCAACAGAGTTTGAGAATTTGGTTTCATCATTACACTTACTATAGTTTGAGAAATGGATTAGTATTTTTAGCTCTTATCTAACAGATGCCATTCATTGTACCAAAAGACATCAGTTTCACGCTCAATGTCGCCTTTTAGCTGGGAAAAAAGACAAGTAATTAATTGTTGTTTTGATCAGTCACTGCTTTCACTATACACAACTATCGTGTGCACGATTGTGCAATAAGTTGTATGATGGTTAGCCATGCATCTTAACTCTCCAATCCTCATTAAACAATAACCTGAGTCCTCATTTGACCTACACCGACGTAGCTACATATCTTGGCACGGATTCAGAAGGCTAAATTGGATTTTGCCAATTTGCGTCACTTGTGATGCGAACCAGTGAACAGGTTTACTGCGCAGCAATTCTCCACGTCCTAATTTTTGGGTGTGAAACATAAACATTAAGAATAGAGGATGCTCGTAAGTTACTACTGTTCGGTCTTCGAACTATTGCTTGTGTATTTTGGATCACTGAGTAAGCAGTGTCTGTGTTAGGAATAGGGTGTCTAGTAAGGATGGGCGACCAACTGATGAGGTAGTAAATCTTCATCAACTGAGGTGGTCGGGATATTTGTTATGTGTACTTAACCACTGCCTACATCGACGGGCGATGTTTCCTAGTGTAGAAATAGGCTGAAAGAAACTAGGGTTTGCCAAACGAAGAAACAGCATCGGTCTATGAAATCATCAACAATTGAACTAAGGCATATTTAATAGATACAGGCCCCCAAATGCCCTGGTACGTCCGAGAGTGGGGAGAGTCCGCTCTCCCTCTCGAAATGCTCCCACATGGCCACGCGTATATAGCCTCTGCCAGGGAAGCCCTACTCGCTGCCTTCTCGTGACGAGGGTGTTGTTTACGGAATTGAGAGGACGAAAAGCAAATATACGGTGCTTTAACCGGATCCCAAACTGATGGTGCACATGGGCTCCAGTATTATCCTGCGGGAACAAATGGCGTATGAATCAATTGTTGGTCACCGGCTTCCATGGGACTGTATCGCCTTAAGATGCTCCATTGCCTTGTGGATCAGACCTTCAGGTCAAAAGCTTCGGGTGTGGCCCCCTAAGAAAACCACCTGCTTCGGTTTGAGCACCCGAGCAGTATCACAGCCGTCACACATATCGAATTAGATTTGTGTGGCGCATATGTATTTGGTGCCTCCTTGTACCAATGCCTATGTGTTAAAATAAATAAATAAATAATAATGGCTGCGGGTCCATATGATTCTCGTAACCAATGGTCAGATAGGTTGAATGGCACGGCCTGAAATTGTTTGCAATTGCACAGGTGAATCTGTTCTCCTTCGAATTCTGAGCTGAATCTCTCATGACATGTTCGTGTTTTTACCCGAATAATTTGTACTTTTTAAAAATTTATCTTCGATGCCGTCTTTTCTATTACCGCTGATACTGCTGCTGCCTCCGAAATTTGACCTGAAAATTTCATCTCTGTATGCTATTGAGGTATAGCAACTTAAAATGGTGTACATACGTACCAGGTTCTACGTTATAACTAACTGATTAAATCATTATGAACTATACTAGCTGTCTAGAGGGTTTTTGGTATAAACATGTTGTATGCCATTACTATATGTGTCTGACTTGCTCGTAAAGTGAATTATAAATGGGTTATGAACATAATGAAGAGAATTCCACTTTTTTTGTTATACAATTCTTTGTTTGACTCATTTTCATGAATGGTATTAGAGTTCTGATACTTCCTGAATACATAAACAATTAGGTAGCTTCTTAAGAAATCATATTTCGTTACTTCAGCCTAAATGTTTAATTTTCAAGTTAGTGAAGCGATGTCACTAGATGCTGTAGCGTCGTAGTTATCATTGTTCGTACTCCATCTTTTTCCACCTGATTTTATGTCGTGTCTGTACTACTGTTGTCGAATCAAACGATTTTGGTTCTCCTGTGCATTTATTTATTTAAATACATAAACACTGATACAAGGAGATACTAAACAGATATGCGCCACATAAATCGTTCGATTTGTATGACGGCTGGAATACTGAAACAGGTGGTTCTCTTAGGAGGTCACACCGTGAGCCTTCAATCTACAGGTCTAATCTACAAGACAGTGGAGCAACGTCAGGAGATGCAGTCTTGTGGTAACCAGTGACTAACAATAGGTTCATACACCATTTGTTCCCTCAGGATACTGGAGCCCATATCCACCATTGGTTTGAATCCTCTGTATCTTGTATATTCATCATTAGCGGGATTTATTTACCAAACACCTGTATTCGTCATTTCATTTATAGTTTAACATACTCTCTCTATATTAAGGTATATGTTATAATTGTATAATTCAAGATAGGAAACGAAGTCTCACCCCCCCCCATCGTCAACGTTTCATTAATCTAAATGTTTTCTCAATTAGATTGTATGTAATTTTGTTTTTGTTGTTGTTGTTGGCTAAATTACTACACTATTGTGTGTATAAACATTCGAAACTATGTAACCTACTTCTTTTTTTTTTTGTTTAAAGAATTTTTCGTATAAAATTGTATCTTTTATCATATTTACCGTGATTGTTTCCTTTCCAAAAAAGAAAAAAAACAAGAAAGAGAAAGAAATATAAAATTAGTGATTGTTACTAAATCAGTATACATAATCTGCACTTACTCCTTTCTCTATATCATCTCTATATGTGTATGTATGATATTGGGATAGTAAACATGTGTATATCTTACTACTACTACTACTAGTACGACTACTACTACTACTTACTATGTTAATGATTGACAATTTAACTGATTGAAACAAAGTACAGAATTGAAATTTCTTTCTTTACAATTTAACATTTAAGAAAAAAAAAACAATAAAGAGAATATTCTCCTTTTTCTTTTTCATAATTATTTCACTAATCTTTGATGATAATCATTTTTTTCTTATAAGTTCGATCTCGAATCTGTAATCATTTGTCAATATAAAGTTTAATAGTTTAGGTTATCATATCATAAATGAACATATTTACTTAGTTAGTTACTTACTTACGACAGTTACTCGCAATGGAGCATAGACCGCCGACTAGTGTTCTCCAATCCACTTTGTTCCTAGGTCTTCCATTTCTAGTTCTATTCAGTTGTTGTTTCATTCTTATTATATCTGTCTCCATTTCTCGGCATAATATGTTTTTTGATCTCTTCCTCTTCTGCTTATTTGGTCTTGAGGATTTCAAGTGAGGACTTGTCCTGTGACACAGTTAAATACTCTCCTTAATGTATGTGTTCTATCCACATAAATGAACATAATAAGTAGAAAATTAATCGAAATCATAATGCTATCCATAATAATATGATTTAAAAAAAAGTTCATATCAAAATATATTGAAACTTAAGATCTAAAGTGACATTATTGGGATTGATTTTTACATTGTTTTATCTAAATGGTCTATATTTCATTGAATATCTCGAATCACACATCAATTCAACATTTTCAAGGTGTTATTGTTTGTTTGTTTGTTTCGTTTACCGAACGTATCACTTTCACTTCAAATCTATAAATTCATACATTTATTCCTATAGAGATTTCATTCACTTAGTCTAACTTAGTTATTCGTGTAAAACAACACCTCACGAGGATCATGCTCATAATCATCTTAGTTACTGTTAAACTAGTTGTTGTAATTCTGGAGTACATATCCTAAACTTCCTTATGCTTGTTACCAGTCTAATTTAATTTTTCCACCCAGATACAAAACTACAAATGACGTAATCACTGAAATCAATTTTCGATTTTATGTGTTCTATTCTGTTTGTCCATTTGAAATCTGTCTTTTTTATACTTTAGTAGAAAAATAAAATTTTATAATATATGAACCATTTATGCTTATTTATGAAATGATTAGTGTTAATTCAATGTAACAAAATACCCCCGGAAAACATGGAAATATTGTATAATGATTGCTTTTAGTTCGTCGTTTGTGTGTAATCAAATTTCAGGATATAGATTTCTCAAAACGTTCATTGAATATATCTCATTTGCAGGGATTCAGTCAGCTACAATATAGAACTAGGCACATATATAAATCAATTAAAATTGCCACACCTCATTACCACAACAAGATGAACACCAAATTCATACGAGTAGTTAATTCATCGGTAGTAATATATAGAAGAAAGATTGTGTACAAGGATATAGTACATGAAGAAACAATTACAAAGAAAGATATAAAGTAATTTTAATCTCACAATTTTAGGGAAGACGAACAGTTTATACACCTACTCCACTGTGATCGATTCTGAGCCATGTCATACACAGTCTTTAACCATTGGTTAAGATAGTCACGCAGATCTCAATCAAGTAGTCTGCGTCTACTAACATGGTTAACACTAGAAGTTAGTGACTTCAATGAATGATGCCATGTTTTGATTTGGCCACCCCTAACTTTCTTCCAACCGTCTCCAACACTACTCAGCATTTTGCATCTTGGTAAATGGAGATCTTTTACCTGTCTTAATTCACTGGCCATTTCAACGTTATTTTTCTTTATTTATAATCAGAAACAGATGTTAAAATGTCTCAATATATATAGTGCATTCAAAATGTGGCATCAGTCTATGAAGTTATTAAATGCAAACTATAAAAGCCTACTGATTCAGGTCACTGATTCTATCGATAATAACTTTGTGTTGACATATTTCTATAAGTTAATGAAAAAGAAAAAAAAAACCCATTTCACTTCATTTCATTAATTTAAATGATGGGAAACAAAATAAAACATCCTTAGGGGGTCAGCTATCCATTTAATGTTAGCCAAACAAACCTATAATATAATGTATTTGTTATGAGGTTAAATAATCTATGACACCGTTTTGACCTTTGAAGAAACTATTCATCAATTCACTTTAATTGTAAAAAGAATCTGAAAATACTGGTAACAACACTAATATTGTACTTTACTCGTATTATTTTGTGTCGTAAATTCACATTATTTACTCTTAAGGTATAAGAATTAACTATGGTAACTATATGACAATTATTTATTTCAGAAGGGGTTTTTGTGGATATTATAGTAATTTAAATGGTTGAGATTATGAGTCAATTGAAGCTAGACAACCATGGGAAACCTGGAACTCTAGACTGATAGGTCCTTGGTTCGAATCTCGCCAGGCAGGATCGTGGGTGTACACTACTGAGGAGTCCCACAATAGGACGAGGCGGCTGCCCAGTGCTTCCAGGTTTTCCATGGCGGTCTAGCTCATGATCTCAACCATTGAAATTATCATAATATCCACAAAACCCCTTCTCATATGAATCAACGTATGCTCACTAGTGACTGGCTTCAAGCTGTATTTCCTGGAGTTCTAGTGAGAAGTTGTTACCAATGTAGTTCAACCAGGTATGTTGTGAGATAGTAGCTCACTGAAAACAATGGTGGATGTGTCGCTCTATTTCGTTGATTGGTTGAAGTTAGACATTAACACCGTTGGATACCGGCCAACTCAGTGGTCTAATGGTTAAACGCTTGCGCGCGAGACTGATAGGTGCTGGGTTGGAATCTCGTTAGACGAGACCTTGGATCTGCAATGCTGAGGAGTCCCAGATTAGGACGAAATGGCCTTCTGGTGCTTCTCGGTTTTCCATGGTTGTCTAGCTTCAATTGACTCATGATCTCGACCATTGAAATTAGTTCTTCGATGATTTTCTTGAGAACTTTTCAAAAAAAAAATAATTTTGTTCCTTAATAGTGTTTATGTATTTTACTTCACTTTGTAATAGCTCAAAAAAAAATTTTCTTTTTCTTTTTTAAATCTCAGTGATCATTTGGCTTAACATATTTCTTCTACTTTTTTCTCCATCACCTTTACACAGAGTTCAATCGCTTTCGAAATAAAAAATGATCAAAAAGTCAATGTACGACGTTTACCAGCTCCAACTTCACAACTATCCTCTCAATATCATAATAACAATAGTGATAATATCAAATCACAGAAATTAAGACAATCAACTAAGAAATTAAATCATTTCAATTGTAAATCTGCATTTTCTTCATCTAAATTAACTACATCAACTCCATTAATTCCTCAATAATTTCTTAATGTTAACCATGTATGTACATTATATTTAGTGTAAGTGGATGTCATCTTTTATCATATCAAAAATTTTATTGACTGTTTCATTGTTTCATGAGAATCCTTTAATGAGAAATCATAGGTTCTGCAATATATGCATATTTAGACTTGTATAGTTCCTAACTTGACTATTTCACTGTAGTCACCATTTACGCTTGAACCCTTTTTTTGGGAATGTTTTTGCTGAAATACCATAATTTATGTTAGAAACAATATCAATGAGTGTCGAATCATGGTATGACATTAACCTGTTTAAGTTTTTTCCCTCTACTGTGTAGTGAAATATTTCGTCATCTTTTATATCCTTCTAATCAATCTCCTTTTGTACTATGGTGTGTGCTGCTGATATCGATAGATATAAGTAGTATGTATCATTGTGGTGAACACGAACATCAGTGGAGGACAATCGAATAGATTTGACACAAAATTACAGGATTTGTTAATAAAATCTAACAATCAATACGTAATTTGCAAAATGTCCATCAATTGTCTCATAATGACTCAGACTTCATTGTTCTTGCATTTTCATACAAATTGCATTCTGTTTTGATTCTTTACTGTTCGAACCTCTTGTCTCTCTGCTGCCGGACATTCTGTTCCTGACTAACACCATATACTACTTATGTGGATATAAGTAGCACACACCACATCATTCGAAAATGAAATACCTGGCAGCAGAATTTCAAGATCAAATAAAAGAGAACGAGAACAGAGAGTGATTAGTGTGGGAACGAAAGGACAGCGAAGTCTGAGATTTGTCTATTTATTTTAACACATAGATATTGGTACTAGGAGGCACTAAATACATATGCGCCACACAAATCTCATTCGATATGTGTGAGGGCTGTGATACTGCCCGGCTGCCCAGACCGAAGCAGGTGGTTTTCTTAGGGGGCCACACCTGGAGCCTTCGACCTGAATGTGTGATCCATAAGGCAGTGGAGCATCGTAAGGAGATGCAGTCCGATGGTAGCCTGTGACCAACAATTGGTTCATGCGTCATTTGTTCCCTTAGAATCCTGGAGACCATGTGCACCATTGGTTTGGAATCTGGTTAAAGCGCCGAGCATTCGATTTTCGTCCTCTCATTTTCGTAAACAACGCCGGTGGCGCGAGAAGGTAGTGAGTAGGACTTCCCTGGCAGAGTCTGTATACAAGTGGCCATGTGAGAGCATTTGGAGAGGGAGAGCGGATTCTCTCCACTCTCGGCCGTACCAGGGCATTTGGAGGCGAAGTCTGAGATGATTGATTGACATTTAGGAAATGAAGTATTTACTGTATAGTTCTCAAATTTTACTAAGTGATTATGTAACATTGTGCTCAAATAATAATAATGATAATAATTAGTATCAAGTATTTCATAATTGCTTCGTATATTAATAATAACAATAATACCTGATTACATAGTAAACAAATCATATATTCTTATTATTGTCGTATTTAGATATTTTTGTGATCTGTATTGTTCACATTGAACCGCGAAACATAAGCTGGCCAAGTATCGTCATCAACTTCATCTAAGAAGCTAGTAATTTTCTCTTTCAATTTCCTCATTGGAATGTATTCCAGTGAATAGTCTTACTTTCTTCTTTTTTTTTTTTTACATTACTCTCTCTCTCACACACACATACATACAATCAAACTGTTTTATTGTTCCTATGTTTAATAAACCTTGATGCTACTTACCAGAATCCACAATCTTGCTGATTTATTTACTTTTTTTTCCAAGTTTTTTGTACATTCGATTTCGTGTGTGTGTGTGTGTGTGTGTGTGTATTTACCTTTTCTTTGTGTCTTTATTCCATTGGTGTCGAATACTGTTGAATTTCTCATTTTGTCTTCTTTATTACCATTATCATTCATTACCATCATTCATCGCCACTCTCATTAACATCTCTCTGTGTAATGCTTTTTATTAGTTTATTTTTTTATAGAATTTTTAAGGTATACACAAAAATGTGAGGGGTGGGGGAAGACTAAGAAAAAGAAACTTATTGGCTGATCCCGGTTCTTCATATTTTTTTCCCTTTTTTTTTCTAAAAAAAACTATTTTATTCTACTATTGAAAGTTGTATATTTTGTTGAATAATGAAAAAAAAACAACCAAAAAATTATTTCAAGAAAAATATAGTTTTTACAATAAAATGATGTGATTTTCTCTAATTCAACTGTCCAACAACATTCAGTCAGTCAGTCAGTCAGTCAGTACCAACGTAGAACTTCATACGTACGTACGTACGTACATCAGTTCGAGTTGCCATACCACATCAGCACAGAGATGCAGTGGTCGATTCAAATCCCATAGTGATAGAGGTAGTAAAAGTATGCGCAGTAATCGGAAAGATTAGGGTTTGAAGATGTTATTCAAGGAGTATAATCTGGTGAAACAAATTTGGAAAGAGGAAAAAAAGGGACATGAAGAATTCGGAAGATTAGAATTTGGGAGAACACAAAGAGTGGATGCACCTGCCATGTCATCCAGCAACATTTTTCAATAATAAAACATTGATGATAGAATAAAGCGGTAAAGAGTCGAATGATTAGTATTAGCTATAGCTATAAGAAATGTGAAGTATGATTTCGATATGAATAAGAGTATAATTACGCGATTACAATTAATAAACATTGACTGAAATTATTGTATAATGAATAATCTGATTAATTTGATAAAGGGTTGAATTACAATTCTTCAAAATTTATTAGTTTCTATGTTAGTCAAATAATAAAATATGGAAGGTGTTAGTGCTGATTACCACGACGTGCAATGCTAACCAGGGTTGGAATAAAGTTAAGGGCGGCCAAATCAAAACATGGGATCATTCATTGAAGTCACTAACTTCTAGTCTTAACCATGTTAGTAGATGCAGACTACTTGATTAGGGTGTGTGTGACTATCTTAACCAATGGTTAGAGACTGTGTGTGACATGGCTCAGAATAGATCACAGTGGAGTAGGTGTATAAACTGTTCGTCTTCCCTTAAATTGTGAGATTAAAATTACTTTATATCTTTCTTTGTAATTGTTTCTTTATGTACTATACACAATCTTTCTTCGATATATTACTACTGTGGTGTGTGCTACTTACATGGACTTAAGTAGTGTATGATGTTAGTCGTGAACGGAAGGTCTGGCATCGGAGAGACAAAAGGATCGAACAGTAAAGAATCGAAACAGGATTCGATTTGTATGAAAATTCAAGAACAATGAAGTCTGGTTCATTATGAGACAACTGATGGACATTTTGCAAATTAAGCATTTAATTTATGATTGTCCTGTAATTTTGTGTCAAATGCATTCGATTGTCTTCACTGGTGTTCTTGTTCACTTCACTACAATTGCATTAACTACTGCTATGAATTTGGTGTTCATCTTGCTGTGTTAATGAGGTATTGCAACTTGGACCGATGTATATATGTGCCTAGTCCTTCGTTGTAGCTGACTGACTGGAAGGTAATAGAAGTATCACGTATCACGAGCTAATGACAACTAATTAGCTTTGTTGTACAGTAGATTTAAGAAGATCAACAGATGAATACATTTGCTTCATTGCAACTGATCTTATTAAAATGAACTTCATTAGTTGACGAACGTGATTCTGGCTTTGCAGCGCTTAAGGAAGATTGATCATGTAAGTAATATGTTGATTATAGACAGGTACTGGACTTATATGTAATAAGAAACTTATATATGTATGTATGAATTACCTTTTTAATATATAGAATTAATTATTGGCTGTCATCTGTTTCATGTAACATAATCGTTTGTGCATGTTAACATGCTTAATACAACTTAAAGGTTATTATGTAGGATTGTCAAGCTATTTCATTCTTTATTGAAGGAAGTTGTAGCTTTCTAAAACAATCAACTCTTGGTTATATCATTTTAACAACAGATATTGGTACGGAATGAAGAATATTAGATCGAACAGCTATGTTTACTGTATACAGGTAATGTGATTCGCATCGATGCAAAGAAACCTGAGATACATTCACCTTCTATGTTCACCTTGGTTTTCAATATAAAGTTATCGAATTCTGAATGTAATTTCCATAATACAGTTAAACACTACTTTTCTGTTCTTTCAATCTAGTTTTTACACCGATAACATTATTCTTATTCTTATCTTTCTTACTTTATATTCTTATTAATAACAGTTTTTATTATCATAATGACTATGATACAATAATTTCTATTTTTTGATTGAGATCATGAACCGATTGACGTTAGACCACCGTTGGAAACCTGGAGGCACAGGACGACCGTTTCGTCCTGTTGTGGGACTCCTCGGCAGTGCGCATCTACAATCCTGCTCGCGGGATTCGAACCCATTGACCAGTGGAGCTAATCCGTGCTGGGTAGAAAAAGGTATCTACCTAAGTACAATGGAAGATGGTCGCTCGATTTCGTGGATTGGTTGATGTTAGACACTAACACCACTGGATGCCGGCTCAGTGGTTCAGTAGGTTAAACGCTCGCGCGCTAGACTGAAGGCCCTGGGTTCGAGAGCCGCGAGAGGGGTCGTGGATGCGTACTGCTGAGGAGTCCCGCAATAGGATGACACGGCGGTCCAGTGCTTCTAGGTTTCCAACGGTGGCCTAACGTCAATCGATTCATGATCTCAATCAAAAACTAAATATTCTCCACAACTCCTATACTGATAATTTCTATTTTGTATTAACTCATTACCTTAAAGTATATAACTTTCTTACTCTTTACTTCATGACCCATTGAGCTTACCAATGATACATATTGTTAGTATTTAAGAGTTGACTGACATAAAAATCACTATCTTCACTTTTTAACACTAATTTAAATAAATAAGAACTTTCTTCTAAATTTGAACGAATAGTTTCACAGTATTTGGGCGACGAGTTAATGTAAGACATTAAAGAGAATGAATGTTGTATTTGTAACATCTCAGCGAAAGAATTTGAAGTAAATTCAACGTTTCTCCTGGCAATCTGGTTCAAGCATTTTCAAGGAAAATATAATCAAACAACAAAATTATGAAATATAAATCGAATTTAAATAGAACGTTTATATACAGAGCATACGGAGTAAACATCAACTCTGGGATGAAAATACATTATTTGCCCCCAAATGCACTGTTACGACCGTGGGTAGGGAGAGTCAGTTCTCCCTCTCGAAATGCCCTCACAAGGTCATGCGTTTGCAGCCACTGCCAGAGAAGTTCTACTCACTACATTCTAGCGGCATAGGTGTTAACTACGAAATCGAGAGGACAAAAAGCGAATGTCAGGCGCTCTAACCGGGTTGGTGGACCGGGAGAGTCCATCTAGAGGAGTTGGAAAACCTGATACCAAACAAAATGTTATACATGGGCTCCGGGATCTTAAGGAAACAAATGGTGTATGAGCCTGTTGTTGGTGACCGACTACCATGGTATTGTACCTCCTTACGTTGCTCCGCTGCCTAGTGGATCAGCCCTTTAGGTTAAAGACTCAGGGAGTGGTCCCCTAAAAAACCCGGGCTGTATCCCAGCCCTCACATAAATCAAATGATTCATGTGGCGCATATCTATTTAATGCTCTCTTTACCAATGTTTATGTTTTTAAATAATAATAGTAATAAATATAATACAGTAATTTCACTTGTTAAGATCAGTTGAAGCTAGACCACCATGGAAATCCTGGAAGCACTGAACGGCCGTTTCGTCCTAGTATGGGACTCCTCAGCAGTGCGCATCCACGACCTCGCCCCCTGCGAGATTCGAACACAGAACCTACAGTAAACTGAAGAAATTATCGCAAACAGTCGTTCGGTTTAATATTCTTTATTCTTGAATATTCTATTATGATTTTTTGGTAGATGATTTATTTATTAATCATTACTGTTGCTATGAATAGCTTTACTTAATATTATATTTTTTGGTACAATATAGAATTCTCAGCACAAAGTATTTCAATAAGTTTCCGTTTCTTATTTCTTGATCGATCTTGACGGTAAATATTGATTAGTCATCAGTTAGATGTTAACAGTTCAGGAATCGACATCTGAATCAAGTTCATTCTTCTCGATGCATATTGCCAACAACCACTATATCTCTGATTAGGCTCTTTTTTAACTTGTTGAGCGAAAGGTCATAAACACGTCTGAATAGGTTATGCGATTAATAAACATAATGGTATGCTGAAACAAACAAACATCAGATAACCTGTTGAAATAACTAGATGGCAGGAATAGGTAGCCTAGATATTCAAGTAGGCCGCCCAATGTAGATGTGCCCACTTCCTGTTTTCTAAAATAAATATTTTGAATGATATACCAAGTTATCGACATTTCTGAATAACATATTGGACTGCATTTATTCCATGCTTTTAAACTGTTAACTTTCCTATGGTCGAAGAATGCTCATAGTGATGTCTGTTAGATATAATGAGGCCTGCCTGAATTGATCTTCTCTGAAAATTTAGCATTTTTTTGAAGTACGCTTCAGTGTCTGCAAGCTTAGCTTGATGGCTTTATAAAGTACTTAATGATTGGACATTGGATATCACTTGATTATAAATCTTATATTAACTCATGATGTACGGCTTCGTATACATCTCTTTGAGCCACATTCTAAGTGTGAGTGATAGTGATAACACTCGGTTTTCCAAACAGCGATAGATGGTTTAGGACTAGGAATACCACCACTACAGACGTAGGTCCATGACATCGAATCATCTAACGTAGTTATCAAGTAGAGGACTGAAGTTGGAAGTAGAAACCATGAAGTTGTCATTTATCAGTTTAGATGATTGACGCTTGCCTCTAGACCTGTAGATCTTTAGTTAACCCCCGAATATTTCGCAAGCGTACAATTCTTAGGAGTCTCATACTAGGACGAAACAGTTATCCAGTCCTTACTGATTTTCAAATGTTGTTTAAGATGAGTTTATGGCCTAAAATTATGATGATTTGTGTATATTCTGAAATATGAACATAAATTAGTTTAATTAGTCTATATTGTTTTAGATTTTATTATGTCAACTGGATAGGACAGAAATGTTCTTTGATCAGTATTAAAGTACTTACAATGTTCAGTTTACATAAGTCACATATTAGTTATAAATGGATTGAACTTTAGT